TAATTCACCAAAGAGTCCAGGTCAAAAACACAAGGTGAGTTTACAGTTTATATCCCCTGAAACATAATGAGAGGCAAACTGATCTTAAATAGTCATTTCCTTAAGAGACCTTTGTGTCATGTAATGCTGTTTAACTGGTTCTAGTGGATTCCACACGCTTTGATTTGACTGCTCCGGTGACACTACTTTGACTTCTGCTGGCTGTCTGAGTTGCACAGTCATGAATACGACATAAAACAAATGGATAAATGTTAGCTTTAGGCTAAATTTGTCTAATAGTTGCTATGTGAAAGTTTGATATTTTTTTGTGTTGAAATTATACTCCATGTGTTTCAGTATGGTACTTAAATGCTGTTCTTCTGTTTTTCTTTACTATTCAAACTCATTAAAACGTTGTGTACTCAGCTATTAGGCTTACCACAAGCTAGAGCGAAATTCAGTAACTGAGAGGATTGCTACAGCTAAGTCATGCAATTAACAAGCCCAATGTGGACAAACATTCAGTGGCATTGGGTTACATTACAGTAAATCCATTTGTATATTGGTTTTCATGAAAAGAGAGAATGAGAACGAAAAGTAGCCCACTACACAACTTTAGGTCGGTTTGTTTATTAATATGTGTTGATATATGCTCAACTTTAGAATAGTTCCCCTTCTTTATTATTATGTTAGCACTGTGAGTAATAGACTTAAGTATTTACTCAGGCTAATTTTAGTGGTGGGAAAAGCAGTGCCCCTTGCTGGTATAAATAAAGTTCCTCTGAAATATTCTCCCTGACTCCAGATAGTCTGTTGGTCTGTAGCACTGCCCAGTCCCGTGGATTCAAATTTAACAGCATGATACTAGAGCAGAGCACAGTCATGCCAGCCATCTGTGGACATGGTGTGTGTGTCTGTGTGGTGGGGGCATGTAATGTAGGCAAGATGGGAGTATGATCCTTTCCCAGTAAAAGGGTGGTGTGTCCCTTCCCTATGGGTCCCCCTGCCATGCAGTGTTTGTGAAGTATCAGCTGTCAACCCCCCCCTGCATTTAGCAGCTTGTCAAGTAAGGAGGTCTCCTCCAGTAATTAACCAGCCCATTTACTTAACTCAGCTTTGTTTACATTGTGAATGCATACACCCACAGATTGGCAAAACAAAATTATTCACACCCTTTAAGGTTATACATCTATCAGAAAAGTATGTGTTCTTTCTAAATACACGGAAACATGAGTCAAAATTTGAAGCATACATAAAAGTCTCTTACGTATTTTTTGTCCACGAGATATCAGTGTTTTCTAAACTGATTGTTATTTTATTGACTCAGTTTGGATAACCAGCTTTATATTCGTAAATGATCTATCTTTTACAGCAGTGGTAAAAAAAGATAACATCGTGCTTACAAAAAGTGCAGTACAGCCAGTGTTTGATATACCTACCACAAAAAGAAAAATGAACGACTTTCCTTCAGTTCTGTTTGAACATGTTAGTAATATTATACATACCTATGGATACACTTTACAGGTTAGTTTTTCATTATTATTATTTTTAGTTCTGCAGTAAAGAGACTAATTATGGGTTTCTGCAACTCTTAATTATGTTTTGAATTCTCCTGTTGAAACTTTGACAAACAGCTATAGTTAAATATGTTCGTTATAATTCAGCTGGTCTCTACAGAAAATTCCACAGTGGAAATATGTTGTGTCTGTTCTTATCTGCAGTGCCCTCATGACCCCCCCAGTGCCTCATCTCGTAAGTTAATGAACAACCATGAGTGACCTCAGCACTCACATGAATCAGACATCTCCCTGCTCAGACATACTTCAGTGAAGTCACTGTCACAGAGTTTGTCTTGATGTAGAAAACATAGTTACTATAACTGGACTTTTCTCAAAAACACAAAGTGGCACGTGATATTTTTGTGTAGCTGCCTCTATGTCTGTGGTTGTGTTTCTTCTTTAAAGTTGGATTCCTTAGGACAGGACAGTGGATATAATCAGAAGTCAGGGAGACAGAGATTTGGGAATGATTTGTGGGAAAGGATCCACATATGGGTTTTATCCTTGGCTGCCTGCTTCAAGGCCCATGTACATGGGGCGCCCACTAGTAACCACTAGGCCACTGACGGCCCCTTAACTCTTTTAAAAACTGAATTACTGCCACCATCCAGGAAGACTGGGGCCTCTTTTTTCTTCAAGAGTAGACTAGACAATCTGAATTGATGATAGTGTCTCTGCAGTGACAGTAAAATGAGTCAGGTGAGAAAGGTTATCCACATTAATTTGACAGTTTTGACTTAACCTTGTCATGATATTTTAGCTTTCCATCGGCAGCTGTAGGGATCTCATGAATCGACACACAGCCACAACTTATTTTATGAGCTCATTTCTCTGGTGTGTTTGTAAATTCTTCAACGGGGAGTATCATCAGACACTATTTGCCTGCTTCAATAACATAATCTGTGTGGCTCTTTCGAAGTTAAGATTTCACAAGCTGCAGTCCACCTGTTGAAAGTATTTTGTCTGTGCCAAGCTCTGATGAATATCACTGAACTTGCTCCACAGACACGTTAACATATGTCTGTCGCTGCTCGTCACAAGTTCTTGCAGTATGTGGTCTGCACTGCTTAATGCCACATGCTAAACTGAGTTGTATTTAGTGTCACATGAACCTTCAGGGATGCCCTGAATGGACATTTATCCATGGTTAACTTCTTATCCTGGCCAGTGTCCTGATGTGTCTAAATCATAAACTATTTTTGAATCTTGCAGTCACCTCAGCAATCATCTTGGAAGTTTTCCAGGAAAACGACAGCGATTTAAGCCTGTAGTTCTATATGCATGACTTTTTAAGAAATACCAGGCCAAGTTTCAGAGAGATCAGTTGTCCATCAGTTTAAAATGTCTTGGTATATTAATTAGTGTTGTTTTGATGTGCTGAGGTAGTTTGGGTTAATAATTCTGCTATTGGGATCGAAAATGTGTTGTGGTTTTAAGTTGAAGGTAGTTCCTTTTAGTAATGACAACTGATGTGAATGTGACACCTAAATGATAAATCCTTTTCAATATATCTGTGTGTGTTTCTCAAGTCTTTAAGGGCAATTTTCATGAAAACACCAGCAAACACTGTATCTCAAGTTAAAATCTTTTAGACACTGGTGTTTGAAACTTGTGATATGCACCGAATTTACTAATTTCTAGAAATATCTAAGAATCAAGACATCATATGAGTGTGGCCACAAAGATGCATGACAGGACAGAGTAGTTCAGAGACGTTCTGAAACCAGTGTCTCAGTCTGCAGAAACTCTACACTTTCCCCATAATTACATAAATTGTTGAAAACAAAGCTACAAGGGTGAGGAACCTATTTCATGATGATTTACATATGTTTTAAAAGGCCATTTATTTAAAGAATTCAAAAATGAATGTGATGTGTTCGTCATTATAACTGATATTTACAGCACCACTTAGAGTACTGATTCCTGTTTAAGCATGAGTACTCAAGAGACCTCCAGAAATATCTGTAAGTGCTCCTTCAAAATGCTCTACAGCCATACTTGTAGAGGACTACAGGAAATGAAGAAATGATGCAGGCTAGGAATGTAAACAATGATTGTTTATACTAAAACTACTTTCAAAGTCCTCAAATTGAATTGTTTTCAACCACAAAACCTCTTTAACTGCCTTTATCTGCCTGACTGCGTACTAAACTGGACCTTTTTTAATGATTTTAATAATAATTATAATGAATCAATAATTATTGTGTGTTTTTTTCCTTGATTATTAAGTTTTGCCTTTTAACAACACACATTGTAGAAAAAAAAGAGGTCATCAAGGGTTGAATGAAATGGCTCATGTGTTATTTGTAGTCAACTGTAAGTTAAGGGTTGCTATCCCAATAGTCCAACGCAGCAGGAAAGGCTGGGGATTAAACCCCAGCAGATAATCAAAAATGAATCAAGGAATTAAGATTAGATTATTAACAATAACTCTTTGGTGCAGCAGTACTCCGACCCTGTTATTTCCAGAGGCTCAAAGTTAGTGCTGATGTGCAGTAAGCTTTAACTCCTAGATCAACAAAACTGCATGCAATCTGTAGTGTGTTGTTGTTTTGCTTTGCATCTTCAAAGTGATAGATTTATTAATTATCCTGAATGTCAAAAACATCTTTACAAAATTAAAGTACATCATATGTTGACTTGGACAATATTCATATGGGTTTGGTTATGTTGTTGATTATTTGTCATTGCTTGTGCACATGTTGCCTTTCCTTTAACCTGGACTTAACTGCTTTTCTTGGCTTCACTATTAGAAGCACAAGGGCAGGACGGAGGAGGCCTCACGTCTATATTTATTCACGTAAACACTCTATACCTCGTTCTGAAAGTTTGACCTGCACCAGTGTTAATTTGGTCACAAAGCTGACTCCCCTGTGAAGTGTATGTTTGCGACTGGTAATAAACACTCGCAGCAAATGTGTTCATAGAAAAGAGAGTGTATCTGACTAAATGCTACATCATTACTGTCCCAGTTTCTCAAGCAGTAACACAGTGCAGCCATTCACGGTGGGCTGATGAACTCAGTGAGATCAAGTCGATGGCTGACAATGATTCATGTTCAAACATGTTTGTGGTGAGGATCAGCATTTTAGAATCATTTATAATCAAATAATCAGAGAGAAATGGCTTATGAAGAAATAGATATGGTGGATACATTTCCCAAGAAGAAGCCTTTTAACGTACATGTTAAAGATTTGATTTGAGATAAATAAATAAATAAAACCAACTCAACTAATAAATACTGCATGTTCCTGTGGTTCTTATTACTCCAAAGATGGCAAAGTTACAAAACATGTCCAGGCCAGCCCTCTGTTTGTGCGTCTATGTGTGTGTAGGAGAAGATAATATTGTCATGATCCTGACTTCTGTGTGGATTCTCTCTCTCTCTCTCTCTCTCTCTCTCTCTCTCTCTCTCTCTCTCTCTCTCTCTCTCTCTCTCTCTCTCTCTCTCTTCTCTGTCAGACACGTGATGACTTTCTGGGACAGGTGGACGTCCCCTTAAATCAGATACCGGTGAGTCCTTGGTTGCATGAGATACTTCTTCTCTGTATTTTGACACTTATGACTTGTTTAAGTTCACACAAGTGTAATGTATCTTGTTTTTACTTTTAACATTTACTGTACAAGCTCGTAAACTCGCTCTCACCCCTGTTCCCATGTAAATAAAAACATGCGTGCGGCGTGCCCTTATTCTAGTGTCTGTTCCACATCATTGTCTGAGATTTTGGAAACACAGTCAGTCATGTTTATGTTACCTTCCTTTTTTCTTTTTTTTTCCATTCAACACCCACAAATGATTTACTGTTCCCCCATGGTTCACTGTCAACATCATGTCTTGTTTTCTGTTAAGAGTACTACTGAGGATTTATTATGAAGGGTTTGTGTTTGAAGACTTAAAGATTTTCTTTCTATTGTTTTCTCAGACAGAAAATCCTAACACAGAAAGGCCATACACATTCAAGGATTTTCTGCTCCACCCACGAAGGTTTGCTTGATTTCATGGTTATTAAATCTAATGTGTCCTTATTTTATTACATCCCATTTTTATGTGTTTCTTTGCAGAGGACATGATCAGCCTCGATTCATACTTTACTTTTAAACATCCCTGACAATCGACAGATTGAAAAATAAATTGATCCCAAACTTTTTTTATTACTTATCAATATATCATAAGTAATAAAAAAACAATTATTACTAAAAAAAACATTATTCATATTTCTCGATGGCTTAATTAAAAATAACTACTTTGTTTTATTGTGCAGCCACAAGTCAAGAGTCAAAGGTCACCTGCGTCTCAAAATGACCTACCTGCCAAAAAACTCAGGTTCAGAGGAGGAAACGCCAGATCAGACTGAGGACACCACGGATGTAAGTTAGGCTAAAGCGACACAATGTCACCCTATTATCTTCCAAATACCCCAGATCCTTTTTTGTTTAATTAATCAATGTCAATATCCTTCTTTCAAGAGGATGCACTTTTTCAGTCAGTCTGTAAGGCTTTCTTGAAGCTTACTAGCCAATTAAACACAGATTTCTTTTAGTGTGCAGTTGAACAGCTGGCATCAAGATATTGTCTCCATCATGATTGTAGTCCATTGTAGTCCACTCTATATGTTTTGCAGCGTGATTGGGAGTTTCTAGAGGGCCAGGACATGTCAGGTCCAAGACAAAGCCAGCTTCTGCCCGCTCTGCCCCCTGGCTGGGAGGAGCGGCAGGACAACCTGGGAAGGACCTACTTTGTCCATCATGAGAGCAGAACTACACAGTGGCAACGACCCACAATGCAGTAAGAATGCTCCTCTCTCCTGAGCAAAACTAGATCCCTTGCCTTGATTTCATGTACTGATCGACCGTGTGTTTGTGTGTGAATGTGTGTGTCTGCGTGTGTGTCTGCGTGTGTGTCTTTCTATTACAGGGACAGTGATGTTGGGATGCAAAGAAGACCCAATAATAATATGGAGGCGCATACTTTTACTACACGCAGACAGATCTCAGACCACGAAGAGAACACCACAGGAGAGTCTCCTGAGGTAATCTTAACTTTTACAACCAATTTGCATTCCTTTTGCATTTTTCCCTTTACTGTGTCTTGCTTATATTGCTTTCCTGTGCTCTGTTCAGATGTAGCAGTGTTTTCCCTTTTTTTATGGAGAACAGATAATGATTTATAAAATCTAGACAGTTTATTTATATTCAAAGAAAAAGACATTTCATAATCCCAGCATGTCTGACTAAAGGTTTGTCATTTATTGTTGGTATTCACTCCATTCATAGTATGCCTCACTTCAGCAAGCCAAAGGCAGAGCAATGGTGGCGCTTTAGAATAAAATAACAGAGAAAACAGCAAGAGCAAATAAGTAAATCTGTGAAATAAAACTTTTTTTTATCTGGTTGTTTTCACATTGTTTATTTTTCTAAAAGACAAATTAGCATGACACTATCAGTTGTACTGTCCAGTGCTGCAACTGACATAAAAACGCCCTTAACTCCACCAACTGTCTTTTAGATTGTCGTGTTTTTTTTGCCCAAAAGGTGATTGTTTATGCTTATTTGTTTTACTCTCACTGCTCCCAGCTTTTAGTAAAAAAAAAACTGAACCCGCTATAAGGCCAGTGTACCCTACAGTACCTGCTAAGCGGACAGACGTGCTCATCATAGTTGAGCTTTTAGCTGATAAAGAGCTGAATATTCCACTCAGAAGTTTGTAGAAACCAAAAAACTGGTTCTCTGTATTTGCTGGATGTTTAAATGGGAAACCGTTTGCCAACTTGTTTAACATACCAGTTTAAAAATAATGATTTGTTTGTGTGTTAATCACTTCTTGACTTTAGCGCCTCAAGTAGCAAAAGAATACAGCTTATGCAGGTTTAAGAATTACACAGCACACTGTCCACAACCCGATAGTTAAAATGTATTTTTACGGGCAGTAGATGAGCGATTTGAAGGCTCTGGATCCCTTACTGAATCAAGTGGTGGTTGTAGCAGTGTAGTTCTGGTGTGTCCTCAGATGACTTGGGCATAAACACCTGAAGAAATCCACTTTGAATTACTCCAAACAAACTAACTCACAGGTTTACTGTAAAACAATGGCTTACAGAGTATTTAAACTGAAGAATTTGTTAATGCTATTTTAATTTATTGTAGCTCAATCACACACTGTGTCTGTTTTGTATCCTCTTCTAGAGCTGGGAAATGATAACTGAGGACGAATCCACCTTGTATCACAGCAGTAACCAGGTGACATCAGCTACACCCCGCGATCACATTTCAGGGCCCACTGCTGGCACCTCCCAGACAGTGAGTCCTTTTCTTTTTATTCTTTTTTGCAGCATGAGGCTCTGATTATCGGAAGTCAGAGGAAGAGAGACTCATAATAAGATTTATACGGACCACAAGCTTTCAATGGAAAGAGGAGTGGAAAGTAAATGTACATTAATGGTGATTACTATTGTCTTTCACATCCTTCTGCTGCAGAATCATGCAAGTAATTCAAGCCATTCCAGTGTCAGAAGAAGTTCCCAGACTTCATCAGGAGAGGAACATCCTGTTAATCCTGTGGTAAGTGTTTCACTCCTTGTTGAATCACTCCGTCCTTCTTTTTACCAAGCCTGTCTTGAACCACCAAATTAATGTATGAGTGTTCAAGGCTCACAGGTATTTCTTAATTTATTGTCACAGCTTCAATATTCACTATTAAAGTAGTGCGGAAGTATAAAATATAATAAAAAAGATTTAGGAGCAGTTATATATGTTGTTTTCTTTTATTTCCTCAATAACCCTAAGGTTGTCAGTATTGATCATTTATTTAAATGTAATGTCGTTCAATAGCTGCTTCCAACCTCGTCTGGGTTGCCTCCAGGCTGGGAGGAGAAGCGTGACAACAAAGGCAGACGCTACTTTGTCAACCACATCAGCCAGTCCACTTCATGGACACGACCACTCATTCAGGTACAATGCAGGTTTTCTCATGAGTGGCAATGTGTATGTGTACTGTCATGACAGTTTAATTGTGACGGTGACAATGTTTAAAACTCTCAAGCCCAACATTTAAATCTCACCCCTTTTAACAATGTATTATCTGACATGTTCATTGTTGATCAGAAATCAAGTGACATTGAATTATTTATCACTAGTACCTCTCTGTGTTAACATTTTTGGTGTTACATTTTTGTTTGCCAGAGAACCTCAGAGGCAGCAGCAGCAGCAGCAGCAGCAGCAGCAGCAGCAGCAGCAGCAGCAGCAGCAACACAGAGTAATGCAGGTTTACCTCGGAGCCCAACTCCGCCTCAACTGCCTACATCCCCAGAGGAGTCTCCTCAGCACACCCCAAACCCTGAAGCCACGTACGAGTCTGGCTTCCTGCCAGCTGGTTGGGAGGTTCGTAGTGCTCCAAGTGGAAGACCCTTTTTTATCGACCACAACACAAAGACTACTACCTGGGTGAGAAGACAGAGTGAAATTTACCTGAGGTTTACATTGATAGACACAGCTATGGATTTAGCTCATGTAAAGGCCATGAAGGGAAAGCTGTAAGAAAGCCAGTGTTTTTATTAAAACTTACAAGAAATGGTCTCAACTGTTAAGTTTACCTCTTTCAATGTGGTGGTAACTTAAAAATATTTTTTAAAAAGCAATTTTCTTTAAAAAACTATTTCCTGTGCACTCATATCCTTTTTTGAAACACACATCCTTTGTTTTCCTGTGAACAGGAAGATCCCAGACTTAGGATTCCTGTGAACATGAGAAGGAAAGTCTCACTTGACCCATCTGATCTGGGCCCACTGCCGGTGAGTTAATCTGTTACAGGAAATCAGCAACACATTCATCATATTAAACTTAATATCTCAAGTAGTAAGAAAAAATGGTGTCTTAAGTATTCTGTGTTCTGATAAAAGATCAGAGCTGTTAGCACTGTTCTGATATACTATTGTGTTTAGTCTAAACTTATCGGAGTCTGACTTATCAGAGAATGTGATGTGTTCTTCATCGTAGCCCGGTTGGGAGGAGAGGGTCCACAGCGATGGGAGGATATTCTATATTGATCACAGTAAGTATGACATTTCATACATGAAATACATCCTGGACTCATAAAATGATTAATAGGTTCCCATATTAAGAAAATGACTCTAATGTCTAATATTTCATAGACACCAAGAACACACAATGGGATGACCCCAGATTACAGAATTCAGCTATAACTGGACCAGTAAGTACAAAAACAAATCCAGAAAACTCGTCAGTAACATGATATACATATAACTGACTTCCTTGAAGGTCATAAGGTTATCATTGATTTGTTGTTGTCACTGAACGCTTTCCATCTTTTCCATCTGTTATAGGCAGTGCCTTATTCCAGAGATTATAAACAGAAATATGAATACTTCCGAAAGAAGCTGAAAAGACCGGTGAGTGTCCTCAGAGAAAACCTGTCAACATTAATAGTCATCACTACTTTGCATATAAAATAAAAGATAACAAAATCTGTAAGCGATTATCAGTGTAGTGGTTTCTTTACCTGTGAGACCAGTTTCCCAGTCTCAGTTTCACACATGTAGTGTTTGTTTAACCTGTAGATGAACATAATCCTTCTCTTTATTAACCCCTGACTTTTATGTAGGCGGACATACCAAACCGCTTTGAGATGAAGCTGAGGCGAAACGCTCTGCTGGAGGACTCGTACAGACGCATCCTCTCAGTAAAGAAGGCAGACCTGCTGAAGGCCCGACTGTGGGTGGAGTTCGAGGGAGAAAAAGGACTGGACTACGGCGGCATAGCCAGGGAGTGGTTCTTCCTCATGTCTAAGGAGATGTTCAACCCGTACTATGGGCTGTTTGAATATTCTGCCACGTGAGTACAAACAATGTCTGTTGTCATGACCTCACAACTGCCATCATACACGCCTTTTGTACGAGTACAGGCTTCCAAAAATATCATTTTTTTAATTTATTATATCTATATATATATATTTTTTTAATATATCACAGACATTCAAATCACAAATCATTTCTCATTTTACGATTTCAGACTCTATGTTAGAATTTTGTTCTGAGAAATGTTATTGTTTGTTTTCACTGTGCCAGGCAGCACTAACTGAAATGTTTGTTCACCAATATCACACTGTTGCAGGTTCAATACAAAGTCAGTACAAAGACGTTATGATAGCAGAACTTTGTTGCGGCATTGTTGCAGAATCGCATCAATAAACCTTTTAACGTCATGTCAAAATATATTTGTCATATCAGTGATACTAAAGATTTGTATCATGATCATAAAAGAGCTACATTATATTTAAGCAGGAAAGCTTGATGAGGAAACAGTTTGTCTAAAGGTTTCCCTTCCTGTTGTTTGACGTGCTTTACAGGGACAACTACACCCTCCAGATTAACCCAAACTCTGGTTTGTGTAATGAGGACCACCTCACCTACTTCAAGTTCATTGGCCGCGTGGCAGGCATGGCTGTGTATCATGGCAAACTGCTCGATGGTGAGTACTTAACTGTTAGTGTGCCACTGGAGGACATTTCTGCATATATTTGGTCAAAGTAGGGATACACTGAACATCTAACTTTTCCAGACCCAAAACAATACAGAGGTTAAAGGTTTCAGCATATACTAAGTACCTGTCTGTTATCAGTGTTTCATTAGTAAGATGAATGCCTCACTGTGTGGAGGCAACATCAGACTTGACTTAAACATTGGTTTCCTAACTTTGTCAAACAAAATGAAACTTACATCTTTGACACAGCTGTAGAACTTGTTGGCATAGAAAGAGTGAAAAACCTCCAGACAACTGACACTTTACCCCGTGCGGGTAAATAGTTGCCAGGTGTGTTGCTGACACATTTCATAGCACACACACAGAGAGATGTCGAGAAATGAAAAGTTGAGCATAAAACTGCACAGCAGGGATTTGAGCAAATCGTGTGCTAATAGAGAACTAACTTTTTGTGTATCTCAAAGCTTTCTTCATTCGGCCTTTCTACAAGATGATGCTGCAGAAGCCCATCACTCTCCAGGACATGGAGTCTGTTGTGAGTGTCTAATATGTCCACTACTAATAATTAAGTGAACAACTTAGATCCAGATCGTCTTAATACATGTACCTTTGAAGAAATTCACTACATAAAATAAGTTTGATTTCTTTGTAGGACAGTGAGTATTTCAACTCCCTGATGTGGATTCTGGAGAACGACCCGGCAGACTTGGATCTGAGGTTCACCATTGATGAAGAGCTGTTTGGACAGGTATGGTCAATGTGCTGTTTGCTTCTACACATTTCAGTTTCTATTCTGTAATTCATATAATTCATATCTCTAATTTCTCCTGTTTAGACTCACCAGCATGAACTGAAGCCAGGCGGCACAGAGATAGTTGTAACTAATGACAACAAGAAGGAATACATCCAGTAAGGAAAAGCGCTCAGTTGAAGAAAAAACACTTGTTTTGATCATCTTAGCAGTGAGATAATTATGGTTTGAATCTGATGTGTTGTTTTGTTTGACAGTCTAGTGATGCAGTGGAGGTTTGTGAACAGGATACAGAAACAGATGACTGCCTTCAAAGACGTAAGGATTCAACTGATTCATGTTATTTGTAACATTGAAGATACAATTTAACAGCATGAACAAAAAAAAATGATAATTTGCTTGTATTTGTGTTTTAAGGGGTTCTTTGAGTTGATACCTCAAGATCTTATTAAGATCTTTGACGAGAACGAGCTTGAAGTGAGTTCATTTGTCTATCAGATGTGCTGAAATCAGCCAAGAGTTACTCCAGAAACATGAATGATTGACCTGCTTCTTGTCCCCACAGCTGCTCATGTGTGGTCTTGGAGACGTGGATGTGAACGACTGGCGGGAGAACACCAAATACAAGAACAGCTATTGCGCCAACCACGTCGTCATCCTGTGGTTTTGGAAGGTAAGACATCTTTTCATGCCTGGTGACAACGAGCTGACCTTAGTAGCTTTTTTTTCAGAATTTAAGAATGAATTTGTGTAAATTAAATATTTAAAATGTCTTTGTGTTTTTACAGACAGTGCTGTTGATGGATGCAGAAAAGCGAATCCGGCTCTTACAGTTTGTGACGGGAACTTCAAGAGTCCCAATGAACGGCTTTGCTGAGCTCTATGGTGAGATACCTGCTTGGTATTTTACCAGCACCTGCTTTAGGTTTTTTGCTTGTTATTCCTGCTTTTTGGCTAAATGATCCACTTTGCCTCATCTGCCTTTTTGCATGACTTCTTTTCCCTTCATACTTTTCTTTAATTCGCAGGTGGCTCAAACTTTTGTTTTCTTTCTTGTTAGTAAGCCAGTAAAAAAACATGCTGAGTGTGTTTGTCTGATGTTTGATGTTTTTCATTTTCCAGGCTCTAACGGACCACAGCTGTTCACCATCGAGCAGTGGGGAACACGTGATAAACTCCCCCGAGCCCACACATGGTGAGCACAGCACCATGGTGTTTCAAAATCACACTCTTAGGAATATGTCTCAGTTTTTTGTTGTTGATTTTCTGAGCCCAGTTGCCAGCATTTTCAGCTACTGTGAGGAACTTGAAGTGTGTGTGTCAGTTTGGCATTTCCTTTTGATAAAGAAGCAACTTCTTAGCTGATCTTATCCTGTACATGTATGAATAGTGTTTACTGCCGAAACGTCTTGCCCTGCTCTTTTAACGGTCATGTGTATCACAGTGTGAATCATTATAGTGAACATTTTAAACAAAGGCATTTCTAGGCCGCATGTCTTAGATCGCTTTGTCTGACATTGACCTCGTGTTAGCAGATAAAGGCGTTAGAAATATCTTTATAGAAATCATCAAACTCATTCCTGGAACTCGGGTTTTTTTTAGTAAGTGATAAGGAGGCGTCAGTCAGTCTGTATCATAACAACTTAAAAACTCCTTTAAACGATCTACAACTGTGTCCTAAATAAAAACATAAAATAAATATTTTGCCGTACAATACGCATGATAATGTACATTGTGCTTTGCTGTTATGAGCTCAGTTTTCACTGAGGTTTTGTGAACTGTTACTGATTGAATGAAAGTTTAAAAACATAAGAAAAAGGACAAACTAAAGTCTAATTGAGCATAGTGGGTTAAAGCCCTCTAGTGGCTAGCTGCAGTCATAACACTCTCTGCTTTTTAAAGGTAAATACATAAATCTGGTTCAGTGAGATTCTTCAGGATTTTAAAGGGGATAGGCCACTGATTGTACTGCCAATTTTATGTTCTTTTAATGCTAAATTTGCTTTTTAGGGGCATTATGGGAAGTATAGGATTCATTTTTATTGCTTTAAATACAACTTAGACTTTAAAATTAGGACATTTTTGCCTCTTTTGCAACTAACTGAAAAGTTACAAATGAATCTATGACTGATATGACCCTCATCTTTATTCTTCCAACAGCTAGAAGTGATTTTTTTCTTCACTCCCTCATTGTCTTTTTTCGCCCCTTCCTAAAGCTTCAATCGACTGGACCTGCCACCCTATGAGTCCTTTGAAGAGCTGAGGGAGAAACTTAACATCGCCATTGAGAATGCACAGGGATTCGACGGGGTGGATTAGTTCCTCTACAGTAAACCAGCTGAACTGACATTACTGCCATCATTGTAAAGCCATGGAGGGTGTGGAGCTGTGATGAGTGAAACAAGATGTGCGTCATACGCATATCTGTGCCAGCTGTGTGACCAATGAAGGACAGTCACACAACCCTCAACAGCAAGTGGAGACGGGACGTTGTCTCTGTAGTGCAAGAGGTTTTTAATCACTCTGTATGTTAATAAGTTTACAAAATAAAAATACAAAGATACATCTTGTATTTGAAAACATTCACTCATATTGGCTGAACAGCCTCTGAAAAACAATGTGCTCTGATTCTCTCTGCAGGTATTTGTGAATATAGAACTCATAACTCGTACAATCTCAGTTTAACCCAAATATAATTGACATAAAGATTTCCTTTACTTAACAGTTTATTATTCTATTAATATAGTTTTCATTCCGTCTTATCAGAAACACCGATGCAAATCCAACAATGAGTTATTGGTAGCAGAAAATGTTTCTGTTGAAGTGTGACAACTGCCCTTAAAGAAAGTGTTTTATGGAACCATTTAAGAGGTGATCTACCAGGACCAGTGAAATATCAAATGATCCTGTAGTTATTGTCTGTGTCGTCCACAGGTAGAAAAGACGTGACTACATACAGTGTTAGGTTGTGAAATACTATGCATCATTTTACATATTGACTCCAGATAACTAAATATGACTTAAGTCATCAAAAAATACGACAACACAAGAACATTTTAAAACTGTTAAACATGACTCAAGTTGTTAAAACCTCTAATGATGGTATTTGATTCACCGCTACATCATACATCATGTTTTTATTCAACATATAGTTCAACACCTCTGTTGTCCGAGGAATAGATTAATGTACACACACTTTCAAACTCCTGGTCAGTAGAAACACAATCCAACAGACTGACCTTATTGTAAAGTTTGCAAACAGTATGTGAAATATGCTGTGTTGTTGCCTTTCTTCAATGAGTGATTTCATTTTGTTGTTTTTTCTACTCCTCATGCATGTCTATTCACAAGCACAGTGCTCTATTCTTAAGAGTACAACTTTAAAAAAAAATGTTTTGTTGGTTAAGAAACTGTGTACAGATGATTGTCTTTTTTCAGAATGATTAGTCAGTTGTAATACCTTTATAGAAAAGTAACTGTACTTAAGCAGTAGTTTTAATGGTTAAACATGTGTTTACACTACCTGCCATGTTTACAGGTCGTTGATTAAAAAAAGACACTGAGGGCTGGTTCTTGTCTCTGACAACACTTTTATACTTAAGCTTTTATAAAGTGACGCACTTTCTAAATATCGATGAGTCTTACTTCTGGTCTGTCTGAATCTTTGCCATTCTGTCACCTGTAGACTGCTTCAATCCCTCTTTAAGATAATGATCCTACGCTTGAGTGCACATGTGTGGAAATGTTTACATGTGAACATAGCTGAAAATAAGCACATTCACTTCTTTCACTTCTATTTAAATTTCAATACAGAGGCCTTTGTTATGTATTTTAGAATTTGATTAATTATTGTTGTTCTTATCTCTAAATGGAAGTACTGTTATATGTTATTGTCTGTTGAGTAATAATGAATAGTCAACTTTTTATTTGTGATATATCTATTTGTTATCATAGAACTTCATTATAACACCTGTAAGTGCATTACGACAACATGCATGAACATATAGACAGCATTTTAATCGATGGAATGAATTGTAGATGATAAATCCTTATTGGGGGAAATATAGCAAACCAAATCAAATATATTTGGAAAATAAATACATATTTAAAACAATTATCCTGTGTATCACTGATCCACTTATCTAGCTGTTGTGGTGTGTTTATTTATATAATTAATGAGAGTTTTGAGGATGCCTTTTGGAGAAGATAAAAGTCAGTGCTTACCTTGACCTAGTGACACTTTAATCTACAAATCAAGCTAGAAAGGACTCAGCCTAATCAACGTGTTACCATCATAAAGCAAGAATTTAAGGATTTCTATCTAAAGAAGGCCATGCTTGTTTATGCTTTTATTTTTAGCAGGCTGATTAACTGTAACAGTATTTTCCATCAGACATCTGCAGCTCATTTGTAGTCCTGCTGCCTGAGTCATCACCAACAACAAGAAAGTACATCTCCTTACCTCAGTCCTCAGATCTTTGCACTGGCTTTGTGTGAGTCGAAGGATAGATATCAAAATCTTATTCATCATATATGAAGATCTAAATAGTCTTAAGCAAAATACCTTTAAGTTCTTCTAGTCTGTCATGAGGCATTAGGACCCCTCAGGTCCTCCAGGACAGGTTTACCCATCATTGACCAGAACCAGGCAGGGTGATGCAGCTTTTAGTTTCTTCGCTCCTCAACTGTTCAGCAAGCGGCCTGAGAACTTGAGGCTCTATCAATGTGTCACCTCCTTTAAAACAGGTCTTGAAATTGTGTGTTAATCAATGTTCCAATTAAATATCTCAGTTCAGTTGCTTTTAAGTGTATCTTATAGTTTTATCTATTTTGTATTGTTGGGCTTTTTCTTTATATTAATGTTTTGTATTAATAGTTTATCTCAATGCTCTGTTTTCTAACAGTAAAAAGCCTTTTAATTGCTCTATGTATGAATGCCGCTCTTTTCTGTGCCCTGAAAACGTTAATCTGAAAACTTTGGTTAAAGAACATGTGCCATTTTAAAATATATCTTTAAGTTTTAAAATATAATCCAGAGACATATTGTTTCTCTTTGTATGTCACACAGGATCTCAACATGTTCAGTGATTGTAGTACCAAACTGGTCCAACTAGGGGAGCTATAACACACTGTATTCTTACTGAAGGATGTCAACTAACTTTTACTTCTGTCTGAATAACAAAATAGGTCAGTTTCAAATGATTTTCGAAGAAAAATATTGATGTAAACATACCATACCAATAAGCTTAAAGCCGTTTCAAACCTCCATGTACGACGTTTTCACAAAAAACAATAAATAACATGAAGGTTGTGTTTTCTGGTCCAACTTTTGTCTGTCCTTCATGTTTGTTTGTTTTTGGGCTTTTTATGCCTTTATTTTTCAGGACAGTGGATAGAGTCAGAAATTGAGAGAGAGACGATTGGGGACTGACATGCAGAAAGGGAGCCACAAGCCAGATTCGAGCCCTGCGCTTCCCGCTTGGGGAAATCCTCCATACATGGGGCATGCACTATCCACTAGGTTATCGGCGCCCAATCCTTCATGGGTTACATTGGAATCTTTGTCTGTGTAGTTCAAACAGACAGAATTCATTTTAACCATATTTTAGAGAGCAGACCTAAGAACCTGTCTAAGTCAAGTTAATTAATCAGAGATCTTTTCTGGGTCTAAAGTATGTTACTCATATGATGTGTTAGCTGTTAACAAGAGTAGAGTCGGTGGAAAGTTCTCATCTCTGTGGTCGGAGCCTTTTGTGTGATTCAGTCCTTATTTATCCACAACCCCCCTGCTGAGGCACTAAGAAAAAACCCTCCCAACACAGGGGTCAGGGGAAAGGTCACACAGGATTCAGGCCGTCCATTTGGACACTCCTGGGGTCAGTGGGGATGGGTATGTGTGATAGCAGGGGGACCCTCGCTGACCAATGAGAGCGAGTCCCCCTTTACCACAACCCTGCTGACATTCATAACCTGATAATGACTTCTACTCCATCGATCAGACCTCAGAGCTCGAGCAGAGTTCAGATTCAGGCCCACTATCACTCCACCCACAAACTCTGCCGTACTGCAGGTGTCAAAACCAAGGTTTTGATTATTTAAACACCCTGGGGAGAGCCTCACTGAGCATAACTTTCTCACATTATGTAAGAGAGGAGAGTACATCCTGCTTTCAAGTGGTAAACAAGTATTATGAGTATGTTTTTATGTAATAGTATAAGAGGTTGTTGTTGTTTTTTACAGGGAAACTTAACGAGCCTTCCTGTTAGGAAGGGCATGTATTATTTTTAGAAAGAAGATAGTGTGGCAGATAAGGTCATTTTAATATGTTTGAAGAGGTTTGATATCATGCAGAAAACATAAAGGGATCTTGTGTGAGGGACAGTTTATACAGATTTTTTTTTACAATATGTGTCTGATTGTCTTGACAAAATACAGCTAAATACAGACTAAATGAGTTGTCTGCCTCTTTGTTTCCAATTCAGGAGAAGATGACATCCAAAGTTTCTCTTTCAAAGAGGTTTTGAGAAACAATCACAAAAATCAACCTTCTAAAATCTGTTGTTTTGATCTATTATCATGGAAACCTTTTATGGAAACCTTTTATACCATTTATCTTTTATAAATGTCTTATATCAAAGTGCATAACATTATAAATAAACCATCGACACATCTTAATAAAACCGGTCTTTTAAGTGTTGTATGTTCTTGTCTTATATATTGACGCTATTGTTGTATTTGTATTGTTAATGTTGTGCAAAATCTGAACTGAGGTGATTTTTCTAAATGTAAAAATAAAAAATGAATCATACTTCTGTTTTATTTCATAACATAATACAATTTTTCCTTGACTGACTCAGCACTTTTCCTGTGGACATCACAGCTGGGCTGCACTCCTGCTGCTGAATAAAGGTCCAAGAGGGAGGGGCTGAGGACCGTGGGAGGAAGGGGGTTTGATCACTCTGAACAATAAGTGATGGACATCAGATCAATATCGACATTGACACAGCAGCTGTCCTGCTCCTATCGATGCCTCCTTGTAAGTGCAGGACCCAGTCAAAGAGGACAAGGGACAAACTCATTTCCATTGACATCTTTTTTTTTTTTTGTCAGCTGAGAACATTTGGTGTGCTGTTTGTCTCTGATATTGAGGGATAAGCTCTCATCAATACAGCAGCACACTTGTATCGATAAAGCAAAGGGTTAGGAAAAGTGAGCGAGACTAAATATCAGGTTTACAGCGCTGAAGTCCCATTGGTAGAAAATGTACATAATCATCAAGAGATCTGGTGTACAGAAGTTTTGACGATCTTTTAGAAAGCATGCAGTTTAAAACTTGTTCATAAACAAAGTATGCCACTGATGATGTAGACGTGGGTATGTATAAAAAAATGTTCAACTGAAACAACAAATTTTGAGTAAAATGGTATAATTTTAACTATATTGCTGTGTGTTCTATGAGGAATCATTATGGCAATATATTGGTTTCACAATGAATACAACACAAGACCGAAAGACGGGCCATCTATTGGAGAGGTTTGTCCAAATCTTCTCTCATGTAAAGAGGCCCAAAATAAATGTTATTCATTCTAGTTGAAAAACCTGCATGGTCCTTCATATGGATACTTTACAACTACACGTCTGGTCCTGTCTAGTACAGAGGATTTGAAAATACAGCTGGTGGATTTGTATATAAACAGAAAATTACAGGAAACGGGTAAGTGAGAGCAGATATATATGAAGGCTGCAACAATTAGTTGATTAGATGATTGATCAAATAATATCAATTGAGTGCTATTTTGAAAATCAGTTAAACAAAGAAGAATGATTCCAAAGAAGGTTTTTGTCTTTGATTTTTGATTCATTGGCTGGAAGGATACAAGAAGAATGTCAAATGGAGATGGGGAATTCTGCCATATTAGTTCAAAGTGCAGTCCCATCCCAAAAAAGAAAAGCTTTACGCAAACAATTAAGTATTCAGACATGGATATTTACTGAGATTATATTATGAACTATTTAAACCCAGGGCATTAAATGAGATAATGATTAGCTAAATAAATAAAAGATTATCATTTATATGGTACTTTCTATTGAGAAGTAGCTGTCCCCAATCCTAACCCCTTAATTTCAATTTACGTAAATACCACTTAAAACATTTTTTAGATTTGTTTCAATGGTGTAATTTAAAAGATCTTTATGATTAAGTTTAAACAAAGGTTGAAAGACTTAGATTTATTGTGGGTTTAATTCTTAAATTAAAAAACTATGCTCAAAAATCATGTCCCTTGTTTTCATGTCACTACCGAAACACAAGAGTTTTAGTGGCTTGGCTGAGCCCAGATTTAAGACACACCCCTGAATTTTTGACCAGGAAGTGACATTGCATCTCTGTCCCCCATGACTGCATGAAAATTAGCTAAATCCATAATTTCCCATAAAGAAATGTATTCCCAAAGTCTGAAAATCAGTGTGTAACTTTAAAAATTGTCACTACCAAACACACATTCTCTTCAATTATGTAAATTTTTTGGGGTTTTATGTAAATTATTATGTTTCTGTGGGTGTACAACTCTTCAAAGATGTGTTTGCTAGCCATGTGCTTGCTAGCATTCTTTAATTATGCTCAAAATTAGATAGAATTGTCACTACCGAAACAGTCACTATCGAATCATATGGTCAAGTTCGGTAGTGACATTATCATTTCGCTAGTGACAAAATGGACTGGTTAGTAGTTAAATCTCATCATTTTGAAATAAATGTGTTCCAAAGTCTTAGAATCAGTGAGTTTCTATAAGTATCATCATTTCAATCATCTATTTACAACAAATAAGCAATTGATAAGTAATATTTATACAATAAATGGTCATGGATGAACATTTTTCCTCAAAAAACATTTGTGTGTAATCAGGCATGTTATGAAAATTAATGAATAAGGTTGAGGGAATATGATAAAACACTACAAAGAAAATACTGGTCACTACCGAAACACTGGGTGTTTTAAAAAAAAAGAAGATATATATATATATATATATATATATATATATATATATATCTCTCTCTCTCTCTCTCTCTTCTTTTTTTTTAAAACACCCAGTGTTTCGGTAGTGACCAGTATTTTCTTTGTAGTGTTATATATATATATATATATATATATTAATATTATTAATATTATATATATTTAATATTATATTAAAATTGTGAAAACCTTCAATAAAAATTTGTAAAAATAATTTTCACATAAGGGAAGTAAACATAATATTAACAGGTTAACATAATATTGTTTTTATCATAGTTTAATACTATGTTTCGGTAGTGACACATTTGGGGAGAGGAAATACATTCTAAAACAGTCTAAAAATACAATATCAAATTTGACTGTTCTACTATATGTGTACTTCAGATATGATACAATAGATATAGGGAAAGAAATTTGGGAATAAAACTCAAAATATTTCCAACCTGACTTTGAACCAATTCAATAGAATGGCCCAGATAAGCATTGTTCACTAAATATATGAAACACCATCCTCCAGTTGTATAGCAACCTTATTTATAACAGCATTTATTAAAGCATCTTTGCAATCTCCACTGCACTATTGTTTCCATAACTGTTGCTGTGTATTTAGGCTTATAGATTAATACTTTTGTAATATATTGTATCTACAGGCCTTTGTGTAGTTTTTTTTTCGGCTACTATTATAGTTTAAGTGTTCAAGTATTTCTTCTATGTTTTTGCCCAACCTGTCCTAGTGTTAAGTGTAGTGTGTCAATTTGTCTGTACAGGAGAGTCATATAAAGCTGGAGTAAGATCCCGCGTACACCTGTGCCCTCATACTTGACCAATAAAAGGTATTATAAATTATTATTATGAGTGTGTGTATTGTTTACTCTACCACAATAGTGATATAAATTGCTTAAATACCTACATACTTACAATAGGCTACATAAATATATATGATAGGCAACACTATTAAACATAAATCAGACAATATCATATATGATACCATAAAACCTACATAACCAAAATCACTCATCACTCATCATTGTACGTTTTCAATGCTTATATAAATTAAGTTTTAGCTTCTTAACTACAGGATCAAATAAGTGATAGCTCCATCCGTTTCGCACCACACCTGATCAGGGATGTTTTGAATTTAGCAGGACCATTTGACATATTTGCCCTTTCTGTGCACTAGGTGGCGTTGGACAAAAAGTTTCATTGAAGCCTCGCACAGACGGGATGAATCGACCGATGTCCCATCCTAGAGGAGGGAAACCAGCACCAGCCCTCCTCCACCTCAGTAGCTGCCCAGTTCATCTGGAGGAAACAACTATGAGAGAGTAGCGAGCATGCTTTGACAATTCATGTAAATGGCGCTCGTCAAAAGGAAATTATATCAGCGCTTGCTGTTCTTTCTCGTTTTTCTTCCAATATCAGGTAAGAAGCGTTTTTCAAATGATCTGTCGTTTGACTTCTAGTGTTTGGTGCATCACTGTGAGAGACTGTGTCCACGTTAGACAGATCTGAGGTTAAAGCTCCTCTCTGTCATTTAAAGGGTTAACTAAATGGTATTGATATTTAGCTATGAACACCAGATTTGACCTAAAACCTGAAACACGAATTACAATATTAAAGTTTAAGCATTTCTTTTTTTAAATTTGTACATTTAACATGTTCAATTTCTGAACTTCCAAAGTCATGCATGTCTTATTTGTTTTAACCCCTTCATAACTATAGCCATTTCCATTTGAACACTATCAATTTTTTTATTTATCTAGCCTGCTGTAGGCTTCATGTTAAACAGACAAAATAGAAGCCATTGAAATGGTGTGGATAGCGAATAATGTGTGAGATACTTTTATGTTTTTAATAGTTATATAGGTTAGTTTTCAGGGCAGATCAGACAGGAGTAAAGTGACAATATGGACCGTGTAGAGCGTTACAAACAACAGTGTGCTCAGGGTTTAGAAACTGGAGAACAGATTACAACAATTCAATACATCTCATGTCAAACAGAGCTGGACAAAAACAAATGGCTCAGGAAAGATACTGTGGCCAGGATTCATGTGTGGTTGCTGTCTTTGATTTGGGGAAAAAAAACCTGGCACTTGAAAAGGTTGTGATGTCCATTAAGATCACAAAGTTGTAGGTTGTCTGTAATTGCTTTGACATTAGCTGAGTAACCCGCAAATATGCTACAGATATATTCAATCAAAGTATTTAGGGGATGAAACACACACTCTCTCTCTCTCTATATATATATATATATATATATATTACCCATCTGTTCCATAATTACATATTTACTATCAAGCTCATCTCAGCATGTTTGCACTACTCACCACTGCACGATTGTCTTATTTAGCCTTGTATAGTCTTTGCTTATTTAAGTTTATATTTAATGTTGTACTTTTGTACATAGAGAGCACAGTTCACTGAAGCCAAATCCCTCGTGTGTGTAAGCATACATGGCCAATAAAGCTGATTCTAATTCTGATTCAGTCCAGAAAGGTCACATTAATGTAACATTTGTAAAAGCTCATGCTGAGAGATCAGTAATAGGCTTTTGTGTACACCAAAGGGATGGACAGGATCAACTGTTTCACCTTCAGCTAGTGACTTTATGAGCCATACCTAATTGGATTAAAGTGGAGCAGAAAGACTCTATGACTCTATAATTTGATTACTGTACAGGACACTAGATCTCATGCTGGCGGGCCTCCAACCCTCTCTGATGTGATTATCCAGCTTTGTAGTGACTTTTAATCTGCGTCGCACATGAATCCATCCGAGACTTCAGCCTCAGATATATTTCACTACTTTCTCACACATTCAGACCAGTTTAAAACTCACCTTTAATGCCAGAAGTTAGATCAGAGTAGAAAATGTGTGTTCCCTTTCTGGACATGTTTTTGGGCCTTGTTCCTCGCCCTTACTGACAGCCCCATGTTGATAACCATGCTCACTCCTCATATGCATTTCTTTCTTTCTTTTTCAGGTGTTTTATGCTTTAGTGAGTTATTTTTCATCAAGGAGCCCCGTGATGTCACTGTCATGCGGAAGGAAGCGGTTATTTTGACTGTCAGGCACATGGAGAGTCACCCATCGACGTCAGGTGGCTCAAAAATGGAGTAAAAGTTTTGGAGAACGAACGGGTGTACCTGCTCGCGAACGGCTCCCTTTTTATTTCAGAGGTGGAGAACAGAAGAGGAGACAAATCAGATGAAGGGCTCTATCAGTGCCTCGCTCAGAACAAGTATGGAGCTATCCTGAGCCAGAAAGCCCGTCTTACAATCGCAAGTGAGTATCATGCTGGAATAACATTGTGAATGGCAACAAAGTGGAGAACATGTGACGTGATGAGCTACTCAGCTATGATCGTGTTCAGGCCTTTAGCTATAGTGTCTTGCGCTGGTTAAATTACTGGGTGAGATTCAAAAGCATAAATCACTCATGGAGATGTGCACTTTTAAACATTTATTAATCGCTGCTTAGTGTTGCATTCCTACCATCTTTGGTAGTATCAGAGGAGGAAGAGGAACAATGTATTCAAGTAAAAGCCCAGAAGGTTGTGTTTTTTGGAGGGCGAAGATGCCCATTGGTGTGTTAATGAAGGAGCGGTAGATTTGAAAGGTTAGGAGCTGTCCAGGATACTGCCGCTCCAAAGCTAAAGAGCAGATGACCCTTATTCACAGGCTGAGGCTTTCATGTTATTGCACCCTGCTCGCTTGAGGAATTGTTCTTTTGGAATGCTTTCCCCCCCCCCCTTGTGCCATGAGAGCTGGCCTCATATTTTAAAGGGGGGTAGAGAAGCTCCAGGCAGAGTTGGTCTTTTGGGACCTTATATCCCCTCCTCCTACACCACAGGACATGCATCTTGCTGTGCCACTTTTGCAGAATGTATGTTGACCTTTTATCAGCATTCCCATCAGTGCTTAAGCATGCATTTTTATCATTCAAGGAAAGATGCTGAAATCTATTTTCTAATTAATTTAGTGAGGCTTTTGTGCGTGTGTTGATCTGGTATGGCAGTCCTTGTTCCTGTGTAATTCCTCAACGGGAGATTCATTTATCCAAAAAAAGTTCAGAAATGTCATTCTGAGTTACTGGAGATCACTTTTAATGAGTCACTGTTTTAAAAACAAAAATGATTGCAGATTCTGAGACAACCATTAGTCACTTCTTCAGCACTAAGAGCTTATTAAATCTTATGGCATTTTTGAAATGATTCTTTTTGGATTAATAAAATGTGTGGACAAATCGGAGAGCAACTATTGTGAGTGACATAAAAGCTTACCTCGATAGTTAACATGACTTTTTTATGAGGCTGTATTTGCAGTGCTCTTTGCTGGAGATGACAGCTGTAATACAGATTGATCCTGGAGCTTGAATCACATAAATAGTCGTATTAATTAAAAGAGTGCGTTATAGTTTGAAGTTTAGAGGTGGTAAAGGCTGCCAGTAAGCTTTACTAGTTTGTTTAAAATGGCACTTAGACCTGCTTGAGAGTCTATCTGGAAGCTCATAAAGTTTGCACATACCTGAGAAATGCTCAGTTGAAGGACACAGAGGTAGCAGTGGGGGTTGTTGCAAGACACACGTCTACACACACACACACACACACAAATGAGAATTGCCCTTTCCCAGTACCACTGCCTTTACCCTGAGTGTCTAAATGACCAAACTTTATTGCAGCCCTCACCAGGTCAGTTGGGGCTGGAGGCTTTGTACACAATTGCTTTCTGCCTAACTACTGTGGTGAAAGAGTGAAAAGCTTTTCACACTGACTGTTTTTGTCCATATTAACCCCCCTGCTCGCAAAAGAATAGGGCTTCTTTGGGGGCAATTGTTCTTTCTCGTATCAGTGGACGGAACAGCTGGACCTGTTCAACACTGCATGGCTAATTACTTTTATTCTAAGAGTAAAATATCTGAGTTGATTTGAGGATACATTTGGATTGTAAAATCACAGTCCTGCCTTTTGTAAGAGAGTCTGCCTAGAGATCTGACAATATGTGGTCATTTACTTTGATATATTTAACCGGGGAAAGGCTGTGCATGAAAATATCTTTGATCTTCTTCTCAGAAGAAATGAGTTATCCCTCTTTGTCAATTGTCATCCATGCTACGTTTCCCTTTTCCTGAAGTTGTATTCTTTAAAAGTTCAGAAGTGACAGATTCACAACCTAAGTGCAGGGATGGTGATGATGATTTTAATACTTTACACTCACATGTTGCTCTGGATCTGCTGCTCTTCGTTTTGGATGGTGTGATGACAATAGAGGTGGGGGAAAAAAAATGTAAAACTCAAGATTCTTCTCTTCTAAGATTTAAATCATAACTTCCAAAAATTGTTATATATAATATATATTATTATTTTCTATTATTTTTTTGTGCTAATCAGTCACTCCCTGATAAGTGCTAAGGCTACCTCTTTAACTCAGTAGAATGCCAAATAGAGCAACAAGAAATTCAGTCTCACAGATGACTGGGGTAGATCCTGCAGTATGTACTCGTCTCATTCATAAATAGACTTTGACTCCATGGATCAATGACTCCAGAATCTTTTTGAATCGAAAATCGATTCTGAATCAAAATCGTGACCCCAAGAATCAAAATCAAATCGGACCGTGAGACACCCAAAGATTCCCAGCCCTACATGACAATGAAGGAGGGTAACCTTAAACATTGTGTTGCTGAAGCACAAAGGTGAGAAGGGATTTGGCCATGATGAAAAGGAATGTGACACATGAGCCTCACCATGTGACTTGTGTCAATAGACTTTAGATTGATGGGGATTTCAGTAGAGAGATTGCCCCCAGAGATGGCTTCCTTTTTTTTTTAGACATTAACACCATGTTATACCGCAGGTACCCAAAGCATGTAAAGCGTGGAAAACTTCTGATTTTCATCAACTTGTAGTTGTAGGATACATTGTGGCCTCCATGCTGGATTCCGACATGTTGATAGTTGATAGAAATGAAACTCCAGGAGCAGTCTTAATGAGGACACTATGCCAACTGAGTATGAAGTCAATTCTTGGGCCTGTGCTGGAGGATTGCTTTAACGGCTACTGAAAAAATCCTGCATATATTTTAGGTGATCTTGTACAATTATTATGACAACCTAAAGCTTCTGACTATAAAATATATGCCGGTGCATTATAATGGCATCGTATGTTGCAGCTTTAGTCTGTTTTTTGTCACTGTGGTCATTCTGTTTGACACAGATGTTATACATCTTATACTATAGGTAATTTACTTTTTTAAATGCTGAGAGAAATATAGAGCTTTAAATGAAGGAGCTGCTGCTGAACTTTAACTCAAACTAGTGTGTCCTTTGGCAGCTATAGGGCCTGGACCACAGCGACATTTGAAGTTGCTAAGGAGGGAGTCTGGATGGGCACAATTAGAAACCCAATAAGAAGAAAGTAAACGTCTCACAGTGTGAGCTGTGGGGTGTATGAAAGAAAATGGCCTTAAGTGAAACAAATCAAAGCCTGGAATCTTGTTTTTCTCCTCTACTGGACACGAAAGGTTACCATGGTACCCCTGAACGGCAGGCCCAGGGGTCAAAGGTCTCTTTAAATTGTTCAATAGATAGAGGGCAGTGAGACAGAGCATGGGACTTAAATCTTTCTTAAAATTATACTGGATTCTCATCCTGATTTATCAGTTGCTACAATGCTCATCCATGAGTCTACTTTGGTGGTTATGAGCATCTTTCTTATCTGTCGTTTATAACATTACTTTTCTTTTATCTGACAACTTCTTATTTATATGAAACTCAATGAAAAAGGATGAAACTTTGTTAATAACCAGAATGTGGCTCTTTACAGATTGACTTTTTTCAACTCCATGTGCTGATATGGAGATTAAAGACAATGAATCCACTTTGTGTGCTGAGTGGAGGGCTGCTGTTGAATGATTGGAAAACTTTGTGGCAGAGATAAGGGATTGGAGGAGGGAGGAGGGAGGAGGGAGGATGAATGCTTCTTCCAACACCGCTCCCCCACTACCCAGGCGGTGTTTTGAGAGGTCACGCTGCTCATCGGAATGGTTCTTTGTTTAGCCAGGCTAGTGGTCACTTGACTGTCCTGCAGGCCGCGTGTAGAAGCAGCACATCTGCCATCCAGCTCGTGATTGATTTGTGGGTATTTTGTAGCTCTGCATTCTTCTCCTTCTTGCTTATCAGTCAGCTTTTTTTTCCAGAGGCTTTTATTTATGTTCAGTGGGGGTCACTGAACACTGTTAAGGAGCCATCACTCATTAAATAATGATTAATTTGACATGATTAAGAGTTAAGATAACTTACTTTGGCATAACCTTGCATTGAACCCATTCTCACTTTAGGAGTAAGAACCACAAGAGGAATACATGTTAAACTTTACAAGGCTGTTTCACTGTTTCAGTGATGTTTTTTACAGGTCTCTCCATGATGCTGGGGGTCGTCAATTTAATGTCAGCCTGCAGGATTAGGAGAGTATGATCAATTTTAATGTCTCCTAAGAGATTGGACCCTGCATGGTGGTTGGGTTGTGTTGGGGGCGGTTGGATCATTTCCATCCACACAGTTGAACAAGCTACATGTCATATTGATAAACCCAGGTTAAAATGACTTTATTGTATTGGTTTAACATTTTAGAGCTTAAAAAAGCCTTGTTGAGGTCTGATGTAGATCTATACAAAGAACAAAATAACTCAGTGTTTTCAGCCTTGTCCACATTTCAAATACATTGTTAAAGTTTTTGGTTCCAAGTTAAGTAAATTATAATTTCGAGATGATAAGCTAAACGGATTTTCAAGATGCAGGTCTACTATGCCATGATGTGTCCTTGGCTGAAAACCAGAAAAGCAGAGACAGAGGGCTGAACTAATTCCTGGTATTTGTAAGGGAATCTTTGTTTGGGCCTGGCCTGTCCCTTGACCTTCAGTGTGTTGAGCTGCTGGCATTAGCAGACCTATCTGCAAGCTTAAATGATTCAAACACAGCTTCACTCTTCAGTTTGGCCTGTAGGTAGAACACAAAGAGATAAAACAAGACAGACATATGGACAGTCTCAGATTTTCACTCAGGACGTTGCTGTCACATAATGCTGAGTGACTTGTAGTGATGTAGAAATTGACTCTCTAAAACTTACCCTCCTGTAATCCATTCTAACTTGGTGTTAAGTTTTGCATTTTTTGTGGCATCAGAATCAACATCCAGAAGTCATCAATACACAAGAAAGCAAACCATCACAAAACCTTGCAGCTGGATAACAGAGTGATTTTGATGCAGTTTGCAGGCCAGCAGTGAGCAGCAGTTATTTTGGCTTTAGATCCTGGAGTTGGGAGATCTCCTGAGTTGGGTGCAACCAAGGATTTGTGGGGTCAGAGGTGAGAGGTGAGATCAGAGCGAGCAGATTGTCAGAACTGTGTCTTTGTGCTTTCGGAGAATAGACCAAGGGATTTATTCTGTTAGAGTTGGCAGAATTTTATAGCATAAAAGCCTTAAAGTCTTATTTGTATTTAACATTTTTGGTGGAATAAAAAAAACAATTTCTGTCATTTTAGTTGTAGCACGCAAAGATTCGATAGCAGAGTGAGTTCATTTAGATAGTGACAGTAAAAATAAGACACAGCATCATGTTAGCCTTGATCTTTCGTCTGCACAACATAGCATCCCCATCCACAAACATCATCGCTCAAAGTAGAAGGGCAGCCTTTTATTTTCAGCTGGAAGAGCTCTGACCAACAAGCGGCGATAGATTTTCTACCTTGTTTTAGCGGTTTATCAATAGTCAATAATTATCCTTCTGTTTGTCAATCTAGCATCATTTGACTGAATGTAAAGACAAAGTAGTGAGGCAGAAGATGAGTGCAGCTCATCTCTTGTGCCCCACAGTCTCGTCACTGGAGCACATTAACGGCATTTTGGTAAGAGTCTGCTGTAACACAGGGGGTCGGAGAGTGTGTGTGTGGGGTGTAAAAGCCTCTCTTACTGCTGTCTTTACCTCGAACAAACACAGTGGAGCTAAGAAGGGTAACAGCTCAGGACTACTTTTGATTATTTGTGACATGTGATGATGGGGGTGAAAGAATCTGATTGTGAGGACGACTTGTTCTCCAAAATGAATAATTCTGTGTACAAACCCCAGGATTCTTCCTTACAGTCTGGAAAACACGACCTCCTCTGCGAGTCATTTTGTTCACACCTCTATATTTTTCATACTTTTGATACTATGACCAAAAAAGAGGAAGCCGCCATCAAACAAAAACTTCTACAACAATCAGTTACGACTACAATCTGTGAATTCATTCAGGAGGAATATTTTTTTATCAGAAAATCGGATTATAATCTTAATATCGTTATTTCACCATCCCCACAAAACAAGTTTTCAGCCCTTGAATAATGTCTTGTCACTGGTGTGATGTGTAAGTCATTAAATGTTTTTTTTTTGTTTGTTTTTTGTGGTCAGAGTTCTTCTGTTTTTTAGCACTACAACACCTGGCAACACTGCTAACACACAGCCATCCATCATGGCCCTCACAGACAACATTGTGCTTTTATGACCCAGGAGGGGATTCCTGTGGAATTTTCTCGAAAGCAAAGTTAACCACTGCAGGGTGTTGTATGTCGCCACGGAAAAATACTCTAAGAAACATGTCTGATATCAAAATAAAGGCCAATAAATGAACTGTTTTGCTTAGAGTTGTACGAGGTTAACGTTTTTCTCTGTTGAATGTTGTGTTTAGTGTCAAACATATTTTATATTCAATAACCATTTCCACAAAGCATTTTCACACCCTAACCCAAAACATGACATTCTGATGTTATGTTTCAGGTTTAAGGATTCAATATAACAGTCAAGAAGCTCTGGATGTTTGCACAGAGGCTGAAGAGTAACACAGCTGGATTGTTTATCATAAGTTAAGAGGCGATAGTTTTATCCTGAACGCTAGCAGCAGTTTTACATTTTTCAAATTGGTTGATACGGAGTCGTACTAATACATTTTTCTGATTCATTTGAGAAATAACAGTTCATTGATTGATCTGTGTCCTGGATGGCATATTGATGTTAATACATTAAATGTTAGCCTGTGGTGATGCAAACAGTTTTTTTTGTTGGTAATCTCAGTATTTGCTCTTTTACAAACAACAGTGCAATTGATTTCTTGTAACAAATGATTGGCCTCAGGCTTCAGCAGCTTTTTTAACTCAGAGTGGGGGACAGTATAGCATTGAGCAGCCATCATGGCACTCAGCACTTATATCCTCCTAGAGCCTTTATTAACAAAAAGGACTTCAACATCAACATCAGGAATTATACAAAGCATAAACACACTTCTGTTAGGTGTTTGCTTCTCTATTAAAGGCCTCATTGTAATTCACGTTGGGCCTCATCTGCTTGCTGCTCAGCTGGTGGCTGACAACAGCTCAGTTTCAGAGAAACTCTATCCATGCAGGATGTAGCTGTTCCACTCCAGTCATCACCTTCCTGCAGCACTCAGCACGTCTGTGGCTTTAGGCAATCTCTTTTTTTCTGACATCTTCTAGATCTGAAGGATGTCTGAAATACAACAATGCATTTTGAACGGTAGGGTTTAAATTTGAGAGAGACAATACAATAGCTAAATGTGTTTAGTTGTTTTAAAAAGTATTGATTAAGACTTGGATTTAGATTAGACATCTATTGTGATTTGTGATATGGTTTTATGTCCAAGTAGGTGTTTTGATAACTCATCGAGGGAAATACAACACCAGCCTTTATGAAACTCCTCAAGGCAAATGTGTTTTCTTTGACTTCATCTTTAGAAGAAAACATATATAAGCTTATGTCCTGAATTGCAGTCTTTGGGGCAGCTGTGGCTCAGTTGGTAGAGTCAGTTCTCTCTCAACTGAAAGGTTGAGGGTTCAATCCTCAGCCCCTGCAGCCACATGTCTGATGTGTCCTTGGGCAAAACAGTTCACCCCAAGTTGCTCCTGCTGCTTTGTCTGTGGCGTATCAGTGTGTATGAATGGGATTAGATTCTTCTGATGGTGACTCAACAACCTCTGCCATCAGTGTGTGAATGGGTAGGTGTGACATGCGGTGTTGAAGCGCTTTGAGCTCAAGTCCATTTACCATTGGGAAAAAAACCTGTTTTGTACAAGACACAGTGAGCTTTGTGTGTGAGTAGAAGCTGTCCATATGTGCCAGTCGTCCCCTTACTGCCTTTAGAAATGAATAAATGTTGCTTTGTTTCAATGAATCTGTTTTTATAAATTAAATTAAGTCACTGTCACATGTTCCAATTATGACTCTTATATTGTGAACTTGGCCGGCCCAATGATATATTTACTTTATTTAGTTTCATAGTGTATTATTGTAACACATTATAAGGTGAAGGAAACATTGTTGAAGTAACATATTTCAGAGGAAAATCATCAATTTCAGTTTATCATTGGTAACATTCAACATGAAATGAATATGTGCGATACATTATACGATGTTGAATGTTTGTTAAAAGTTGTCTCTTGTTCTGCTGCAGGTTTATCTTCTTTTACAATCCAGCCAATGTCAATTGTGGTGACCCAGAGCTCAGTCGCCAGGTTTTCGTGCAAAATCAGTGCTCACCCTCCTCCAATCATCACCTGGGAGTTCAATCGTGTCACATTACCCCTCACCACTGAAAGGTAAGCTCTCTCTGCTGTTTTCAGTTTAAACCTCATGGAACTCATTTGGATACCCTTCTGGATAGAAGATTTTTTTTAGCATGATAGCAGAAGATGTCCTTGACCACCCTTACCCATATTCAGATGTTAAAGGTTGTGATCTGTAATTGCTTCCTACTGTTCTTGCTCAACACTTTGTCTAATCTGTTTGTGTCTCTGACATCCAGAATCACAGTCCTGCCCAGTGGTGTTCTCCAGATCTATGGCGTGCAGCGATCAGATGCAGGAAATTACCGCTGCATTGCTACCAATATTGCCAGCCGTCGTCGAAGTGTGGAGGCCACCCTTACAGTCACTCCAGGTGTGTCAATCAGTTCCCATTTTGCAGGTGTATTATGATGAGAGCATCATCTTCAGTGGTGAAGTATCAATCACATAGCACTTACAGGATAACTGTTAAAGGAATATGTGATGGGATGGGTGTTCTTTAACAATTTTTATGAAAGGAACGATAACAGATTATACTTACCTTTTTTTAAAGGAGAGTACAGAGACATATACACAAAAGTCACAATGTTTGTCACCTGAATGCACTTAAAATGCACCGTCTTATCTCCCTTCTTCCTCTCTCTCTCTGATGTTCATGCTGCAGCTCCAAACCCACAGCTTCCCCAGAGGCCTCGCATCATCGCAGGGCCGCAGAACATTTCAGTCACACTGCACCAGAATGCCATCCTGGAATGCATGGCTACAGGAAATCCACGACCCATCATCTCCTGGAGCCGCGCGGACAGCAAGTCAATAGACGTTTACAACACCAAAGTGTTGGGGAATGGTAACCTCATTATCACAGACATCAAGCCTCAGCATGCAGGAGTCTACATGTGCAGAGCCACTACACCCCGCACACGGAACTACACTGTCGCTGCAGCCAATGTCACAGTTTTAGGTAAAGGTTTAAAAAAGTTTGACTTTATATGTTTTGTTTTGTTTTATTTATCATTCAGAAAGTAAATTCTAAACTTTTTGTGTACATTTTTCTAATTGTTGTTGTTGTTGTTGTTCTGTAGCACCACCCTCCTTGGTTGAATGGCCAGAGAGCGTGACCCGTCCCCGTGCCGGCACTGCCCGCTTTGTGTGCCAAGCTGATGGAGTTCCAACTCCTCTAATCTCTTGGCTAAAGAATGGAGAGAGAGTTCACTCCAACGGTCGGATTAAGATGTACAACAGGTATGTTTCTTTTCATTTAAAGGGAAAGACATTTTCCTTTTCTGACAAGACAAATGTAATCGCTTCAGAATGCACAGAGATTTTTGAAAGCAGGAACCCTAACCTCTCTTAGCATGACACACTCGTTTAGCAGTCCTTATTGGCCAATTTACAACAATTAAGATGAATAATTCACTGCTGCCTTTACAGTAGAAAGGAAACTGAATAATTTACAGCCATGCAAACGGGGTCGTCGCTGGTTTCCCTTTAATCTTATTCAACTGTCAGTGCTTGTAAAAAGCAATTATAATATGACTACTCCCTGAAGCCTCAAGATAAAGCCATCTGTGAGCAAACTCTTCACATCTGTTTGTGTGTGTGTTTGCCGCACAGCAAACTGGTCATCAACCAGATCATCCCGGAGGACGATGCCATCTATCAGTGCCAGGCAGAGAGCGAGCAGGGATCGGTTCTCTCCATGGCGAGGCTCATTGTGGTGATGTCTGAGGATCGGCCGAGTGCTCCCAGGAATATCCGAGCCGACACTGTGTCGAGCTCTGCCATCCTTCTGGCTTGGGAGAGACCTCAATATAACTCGGATAAAGTTATCGCTTACTCTGTGCACTATGTTAAGGCTGAAGGTGAGTAATGTGTGAACAAAAGAGAGAATGTGAGAAGGGATCAATTGTCAATTGCTGTCGCACAGGGATAATGTCTCTAGTATAATGTAACAGTCAAAATATTAAACATGTAAATCTATGTCCTTTAAAAGAGTACTCAACCAATTGCCCTCCCACAACGTTATTCAACACACGATGGACTGTAAAAAAAAAAAAAAAAAGGGTTGAAACTCATGGAGCAACACGAGAGATATCTGATTTATATCAATCTTTTTCACTTGTCCATTATTATTTCTTATTGACTACATTTCCCACAATGCAACGACATGGCAGACAGTTCTGTCAGAGCTTTGGGTCTATTCTGGTAGTAGCTGCTAATGAACACAGTTCTGGTATGCTCACAACACTGTAACTCAACATCCACATTTTGACTGGTATAGTCCCTTTACAGACCGTCGACTTGAGGAGTTTCAAGTTGAGGGTCCTTTCCGTGATCAAACTCAGGATGCAGACAAAACTCTTCACAACGAGCATAAGGGTTGTTGTTTGGCAGCAGAAAGGCCTTTCAGCTTTCCTGGGAACTCTTACTGACAAGAGTCACATTCAAACAATACAACGTTTGAGAGAAAAAAAATCAGCTTGTTCATTCAAGCACTGCACTTAATTATAATGCCAGTGACTTCCATTGAGAAGGTGAAAAGTACAGAATTCAACTAAGGAGAAAGGAACACCTGCTAGATTCTGTCGGGGGGTAGGGAGGTAAAAAAAAAGAAAGAAGAAAAAGCTGAAAAGATGTTCTGTTTTTTTTTTTCCTAGAATTTTCCAGGATTTGTTTTTCATGCACTTAATTAAGATTTAATCACACACTCTCCTTAGTTCCAGTCTCACAGAATAGCTGTCATTGACATTGACTGAGTGTCAGACGGTTGGTCTGCACCTGAAGCCACTACATGGAGGCTGATTAAGTATCCTAAAGTGTGTATTATTAAAGAGAAGTGGGGGTTGTGAACTGGACAGGAAGCACGACTTTGTTAAGCTTTTCAGCAAGGCCCGCTGAGGCACACAGACTACGGAGAAAGCTTTTTTATTTACTGCTTGAGAATCCTTTTTTAACAGGTCAGGAATCAGACAAGGTAACTCTTTGCCTTGTACACAAGAACATCTTTTCTGTGACTTTGCCGGTCTGCTCTAATTAAAACACAACCCGACAGTACTGTAGGTTATCTGACAAACTAGAGCAAGTTAATGGAGATGAATATCTGGTAAGGTTCAGTTTCAATGCAACGACAGAAACATTATAATGTTTATTTTGCTTTTGTTTTATCTCCTGGGTTGTCACTGTGAATACTTTTTTGGTTCACAACCTGCAGTCTTAGATCATGATGCAATTTGTCTTAACAAATATATTTACTGAAAAATTAACTTCCCATCTAGAAGGACTGTTTTTATTTTAAAAAAAGTTTAGAGGACTCAGTTTACAATGTTGTAACTTTTCCAGGATTAAACAATGAAGAATATCAAGTGGTCATTGGAAATGATACAACTCGCTACATTATTGACGACCTGGAGCCAGCTCGCAACTACACCTTCTACGTGGTGGCCTACATGCCCATGGGAGCCAGTCGAATGTCTGATCACGTGTTCCAGCACACACTCGAGGATGGTGAGGCAAACATAACCAATCCTTTCCACAGTGAACAAAACATTGAGATCGTTTATGTATAAGAGTGAGATGAGCAGATAAAGGAGTGCTTTTATTGCTCCTTCAACAGACTGCTAGAGACCAGGTGGAGCTCATGTTTGTGAATAAACTCTGTTTTTAATGTAAGAAAAAGGAAAGGATTAGTGTACACAGTGCGTGTAGATGTATGAATGTGACTTTGTATACAAGCTTATTTGTAAATATGTGTATCTGTTTTTATGGCCCATGGCCCTGGAGGGTTTTACAGTTTCTGGCAAACTTAATTTTCTCATGTGCTCGGCCTCTGGACCAGAGGCTGTGGTGTGTCTGTTCTACATGACTGAGAATATACAATTAAATCATATAGCTTGTGGGGCAGGTTATCACCCCTAGTAGCTGCTCTGGTAAAGACAATTGCGATTGCATATTTAATGAGGGGACAGCAAAAGAAACCTTTTTGGTTCGTTAAACATGTAAAACCTTTTCTTTGAGATTTGACAACAACAACAAGAGATACCAGACTTGTAGCTGCATCAAATATTGATGCTCCATAATTACAGCCTCTATGATTGGTTCTGTCTTCCAGATTCGATGTCAGTTACCAACATGGTGGTCAACAAAAAGTGTTTCGATTTACTGTATTGTTTTGTATGTAATTTTATATAAAATTGTTCCTATTTATGAAACATGTTTTGGAGATTGAACCTAAAGACGCTAGATGTTGTCATGTAACTGCATTGACTTGTAACATCTTGTAAGGTTATATATATAGCTGGCAAAATTATGTTCCCCTACAGTAAAGATATCCTGTTATCGCCCACTCCCAGTTGTATCTCGACTGGTGTAACTGTGTCTCCACTTAGGCTCTCAATGCACCAATCAGAGTAGCTCTCAGAAATGTCGATGGTTATTAGAATTCATCCAAATCTTTTAGAAAGACCAGTAACTTATCAGATGACTTAACCCATTTCTTCGCCTCACAGGCTTCTTTTACACTAAACCTTCTCTGTTGTGTTGGTCCACAGTTCCTGTCCGCGCCCCTGAGCTCAGCCTTACCAGTAACAGTCCCATGGACATCCAGGTGTCTTGGCAGCCCCTTCCAGACAAGCTGAGTCGGGGAAGAGTCTCGGCATACCGATTGTCTTATCGCACCAGTGCTGACAACACAATCTCTCAGGTAGAGCTACCTGGAAAGAAGACCCAGCATCCACTGGAAAACCTGCAGCCTGACACCATCTACCTCCTGCGTATTGCTGCTGCCACAAGTGTAGGGTGGGGGGATCAATCTGCTTGGACATCCCACCGCACTCCGAAAGCATCCAGTGCCCAAGGTGAAACATTTGGAAGAGTTGTAGTGATATTTTTTGAAACACAAGTACAAATTTTGGGATAGCCAGAACTATAAAAATTACTAAGAAAATCCCCCCAAAAGATCTACACCTGGGGGGAAGATGACCACCAAAACTGTGGATCCCGTGTTCAAACCATGAGGCAAAATCAAAAGGAGAGCTTCCTCTAAAAATCTTGTTAAGGCATTGTGTTTGTTACTCTCCGACCTTTGGCCTGCACTGTCAGTAACATTGGAAGGGTTTCAGTCATGGGTCATAAAGGGAGCGACTAAGGCCTCTGGGTGGGGAAAAGTATATGGCTGCTTAAAGCCACATCTGAAGCTTTGAGGCGGGGGAGGGGAGGATTTGTTTTTCCTGCCCATCACTATTGCCTTCTTCCTTCACTCGAAATGCAGACAGGAGTCCTCTATTTGATAGCTTTTCCCCCCTCATTCCTAAAATAAAAATGTGTGAAATCGCTCCCTTGACTGCTAGTGTTGTTACCTCTGGCCTGCGTTGAGTGTGAAACAGCTGGTAAGACATAAGATGATAGTTTCACTTTCAAAGAAAACTGCTGCCAGAGAGCCTCCTCTGTTCTCCACATAAATACTTTAGACAGCTTGTCGAGGAGACTCCAGATATCTGAAAACAAGTTCCTGTTTGTTGAGAAGTCTTTGAAGTCATGTTTGGTTTTCATATTAAGCTATCTTTATGTTGTATAACTTTTATCAGATTCTAAATCACATGTTCTGCCTCTTGTCTTGATAGTTCCTCTAGCCCCTAACCTCCACTTGGAGCCTCTAAACTGCACCACTATAGTGGTGCGCTGGCAGCTCGCACCCAGGAATTCAGCCAGTGTCCAAGGATACAGACTCTTCTACCACGAGGAGAGTCAGCCAGAGAGCACCCCGCTTCAGTTGCGTGCTTCAGCTCATACCCACACTATCGGAGGCCTTGGTGAGTTTTGTTTTAAATCATTTCAGTTATCTGCTCCTGCCACAAGGATGCCTAATATGCTGGAAGTTATAAAGGTATTGTTGTGTGTTTTTCTATACTCCTAAACTGAACAACAACAGCAACACAAGACAGAAGATTTCCTTGAACATCCCAAGTTCCCTTTCAAGACAATGATGTGGGAAGGTTAAAGAGCATCTTGTTGCTTTAAATTCACATCGTGCTGAAGAAAATTAATTTCCTTTAAAGTTTCTTTCGATACTTCTGGTTGTGATGCTAAAAAAATATATGGAGAAATAGTCCCTACATTATTTAACAATTGGATACGCTGTTGTTAGTTACTTTTCGAATCTATTGTAGGGTCATTAGGCAGCTGGAGAACTCTTGTTCACATTTAGTGTAAATTCACATTTAGAATAAATAAAACAACATCGAAGGATTTGATTTGCACCCAAATATTTACAGATGAGTGAACACTCCCTAATTGATGAAATGATGTAACATTAATTGATAACATAAAAATACTTTATCAAATGACACAGACCTGCAGTACTTTCCCGCATGTCATTCCCCACTCTCTCTCTCCCTGAATTCTCCGCCGCTCTATCCACTGTCCAATCCATATGCATGCATAAAATGAAGCAGAAGCACAAACAGGAGCAGCTTGTATTGACAGCCAGTCTTATGAGTGATTAATTGGTTTAAGTCTTGTCCTGTGTCGAGCATCACTGAACAGCGCCACATCCCAATTCCATGACCTCCCAACCTCTGCAAAGGATTTCAGTGTGTGCACCTCTTCAGCAGCTGCAGGATGGTGTTTGGGGCATATCACAGCTCCTCTGGCCTTTAGGTCAGATTCATTTTGGCCTTTTTATTGTTTGAGAGGAAAAAGGGATCGGGCCAATGCAGTGGACAACTGACCATCTGTGGCAAGAGGGGGTCAACCAGGTGGTCAGCAGCTGACTTGTAAATCAGGCTGGTCAGTGCTAGACCGCGATCAGAAAGAGTGAAAGATGAGGAGGCTCTATAAATTACTTTAGGTGTTAACTCTTCACGGCTGCAGGCATAACGCTAGTTAGATATTTTGCTTGACGGCTTTAAAACCACTGAAGTTAATGCTAGAGCTACAATACATCTACTCCTCTTTTTTACTGATAGTGATGAAAACTAATGTTGTTTCAAAGACTACTAACTTTAACCGGTTTAATATTACTTTTAGAACATAATAAAAACATTTGATGTTTTTGGTCGTACACCTCCTTATATAACGTCTATGTTGAACCGGTCCACTGCACCGTACCATAATCGCTCTACTGTCTGTCTATTGCTTCAAGTCCCGCGGGTTCACTCTGAATTAGGACAATCTGCTTTTAGCGTCTTTGTCCCAAACACGTGGAACCTTGTTCAAAATACCCTTAAGATTGACACTCTGATGTCTCTTAGATGATTTGAGTCATTTATCGCAAATCATTTCACCTCGGTGTGTGATTGTTTTTTATGAACACAAATTTTGTGTGTTCTTGATTGTTGCAAATGCTGTAATTTGTATGTTTTTGTATCTTGAAATCTTTGTAAATGAGAGAAACTTCAATGATTTACGAGGCTTAAATAAGGTTGATGATGATTTATTTAACGCTGTCCATATTATTTGATTAGATTGGCTGTTTTTAAAAGTTAACAGTTTTGGGCTCTTTCGCTGATTTTTCCAATCAGTGAAATGAACAACATCTAAAATAGAGCTGCAGAAGAAGAATCATCTTATTGTTCCTCCCCGATAAAAGAGCTTTGCAGGGCTGTGAATCCAAGAGAGAGAAGCTGTTTTGTGGAGCCAGATTTATTATGTGTTTTATGACTGCTTTGAGCAGTGTTGCTGGAGGAGCATTGACTTCAAAGACTCTCATTGTGTTTGGCTTTGAAAGCCACAAAGATAGTTTATTAGCCAGGACCTAAAGGAAATGCAGCCTCTGACCAACTGAGCTGTAGGTAGAACAATGAGCATGGCTTGTGAGCTCGCTATCTTACAGTTTGAGATTTCTTTCTCATGAATTAGCTGCAGCTCTGTGTACAAGGGGGTAGCTGTGTAAAACACAGCGTCTGACCTCCTGTGGAAACACATCCTGCAGCTAAAAAAAAAACCCTGCTGTGAGGTGAGGAACTGGACTAAATGGTTTCTATCTATTTGACCAATTATACCTTCCTTTTCAAGACATTACTGTGCTCTTGTATCTGCTGCATTTTGTGATGAACTACAAGCTGTTCTTATCAACATATGACAAGCAGCAGTGATGCTGACATTTCTGCACAAAATGAGCACAAAGACAGTTTTTTTGTAGATGGTGCTCTCTTTCTTCACATGTAAGCATCTTCGCACTAAACATTTGTGTTCTGCTCTCCTTCTGTTCATGAGGATATTGTATTGTATTTAAAGATAATTACTTATATCTGCACACTGAAGTACTTTCCAGAGATTTTGGCCAAATAAGGACAAATTCTAACCTCTAATCATTCACAGCAGGTGATCACTGTAAATTGTACATGCTTGTACTGTAAACAGTATTTCCTCCAATCTCACCGATGCTGACCTTCACCCCCCCCCCCCCACCCAACCCCTTAAGCCAATAACATTGATTTGTAACTACCAGCTATGGTAAAACTGGATTCTGCTGATTCAGCTCTGTGTTCAGCTGCAGAAGGACATCCTCTGAGCTGACTGTAAAATGATCACTTATGATGATCCACATGATTGAAAGCACACCCTGAGGGACAGGAATGTGTTGGTTGAGTATAAATGGCATGCTGATGTGACCTTTCCTCGCATGTGTTTTTTCTGCTTGGCCCATGAAAGCTTAAATACCTTTCATACCTGTTGGCACCGGGCAGCGCTGTGTGCACAACTGTAGATGTATCTCACTGCTGCTGGTTGTCTAGCATGTTTATCTCTCCTTTACTTAAAAAGAGGCGAAGCATGTTTAATGTAGACATAGTTATGTGTTCTGGCCACCAGTTTACAGGCTATTTTGTACTAAACGTAAGTGATTGTGTGTCAGTATGTGTTTGTGTCTAAGATTTGTGTGAGTAAGGACCAAGGAGAAACAGAGAAAAAGAGGGGAGGAGAGAGAGAGAGAGAGAGAGAGAGAGAGAGAGAGAGAGATGATAGATGCTGGTGTGAGGGTTCATGCTGGAGTTGACATTTATGGCCCCTGTTCAGGCCTGGCTTGCAGCAGCCTGGGGGGCCTTTCGCAGGCCAGAACAAAACCTCAGGGCTGACAGGATCTGCATTTTGGTTGTAAAAAAAGGGGGTGACCACAAATGGCTCAAGTATGCCCTTTAATACAAACAGCATAATTTATGGGAGTATGGCCATGTGAGATTTATTCCAGTAGGATGGACTAGAAAATGTCTTTACTGAAGGAATTGCATCCCCAGAAGATCTTAGCTTTCTAAGAATATTAAAGCACAGTTATAACTCAAGTTCTGTACCTAACTTTTTTCATTGATGAAAAACAGAAGTTGGGTTTCCAAAATTAGCTGGTAAATGTTTTGACTCATCCTATCAGTCCTTTGATTAAGCTAAAATTAAAATTGTATAACTTTCCAGCCTTTTATAAGATTTAATATATGAGGATTAATTGATTTCAATGATTTATTAAGACCATTAGGTTTGATTCTATTAATCGTGACAGTCTTTTTTGAAAAGTTGTATTGGCAAAAACATTTGCAGTAAAGCCAATGGCTGAACTTTCTTAAGTTTAGGGTACTTATCATCATCATTTGACTTGATCCTATAAAGTTTAACAGAAGAGCTTCAGGTGTCTTGCTCTCTTGAAATCAAAGCTATCCTCCAAATGTTCTCATCAGGCACTCTGATCAGTCATCATCTATTAAGTGGCATTTTATTTTTGATTTGTAGTGTTTCCCTGTTTTTCCAGTCATTTCCTCTGCTTGACCCTCCCCCTTCAGAGAGAGCCCTCTAACCTGTCCTTTTGCAGGATTTAGCTTGCCCAGATTCCGTGTCAAAGGTCGTGGCCCAGATGTCACAGCTTCCCCCCTCGCAGAGCTTCTCTGTTGCATAATTACGACAGGCCCATTGTATTGTGGGGCTGGATAGAGGTGCATACTATGTGCCGGCTCCTCTTTGGAGGTGGACATTGAAGCAGAACAAACCGACAGAAACTCTTGCTAACAAGGTGGACAAAAGCATAGGCCCCTCTTCTTTTAATACACCAAGATATGTGAGTTTATATGGAGAATTTATTTTATCTCCCTGCTCAGTCTTTGCCACTCGCAATAATTGATGATGCAGTTGATAAAGTTATCACTACTTTAGTATTTTCTCTGAATCGTGTTTGCAAACAAGATACGGGCATGGAGGATCCCTGAGCAGCAGAGGAGGCCCTTCTCATGTTGCACACCCGTGACCTCAGATTCTTTCTGAGTTTAATCTCGGCCTGACCTCCAGTGAAACTCTTCAGGGCTGCATGGGGGTGCAAGTAGCTTGACTCCGCCCCTCGTAAACTTCTCTAACCTCTTTGGACCCAATTTCATCCCCCCTGGACTCTCCCTTCCCTAGAACCCCTAAATATCTCATATAGCAATAGAAATTGTTTTTGTTTTATTATGCAACAAAAGGTAATATGGTCAACTAAATGCTTTGATTGTTTTTTAACTAGGAAAATATAGTAATGAAACTCATGTCTCCCATCAAACTGGTACCAAGACTTTAGGAAACAGAATTTAAGCTTTGGAATTAGTTTGCATTTCTGTCACTCACTGTAAAAGTAAGAGACAGATTAGATTGAAAGTATTGCTACTGATTACGACTTTAGATAAGATCCATAATTATTATTCTTTTCTTGGTTTAAAGGGACATTTGGTCAGCTGGCCTTTGTTCAGCCCAGGGTCTTAGGGGTCACTGAGGCCTACAACTCATGTTGACCGTCAGCCGTGTCCTTCCCAGGGGATTTTGTCCTTCAGTGTAACCCCCAGATTCTGGACCTGAATAGAGTGGCCACTGACCACTGACCAGCAGGCCACAGAAAAGGGTCTTCGTATTTGCACTCAAAAGACTCAGTGACAGGGTGATGGATGTTGGTGCTCTTCTGCTCTGCTGCAGAAACTGACCAAAGGACTTACGGCGCTGAACATCTGCCGCTCTGCCTCACCTCTTTTTTCCCACCACACCATCCTACCAGAAAACCTCACTGACCCCCACACCCACACAGTCCAGGCTATTTTCATGTATCAACCCTGCTTCCTGTTGACTGTAGGAGTCTTGTTGTCATCTATCTAGGTGTTGATGATGTAGTGAGTGTGGGTGAAAAATAAATCCTTAACTGAGTCCAGTTCTGAGACCACAAAGAGGCTTCTTAATTTTAAGACATGATTTATTTGAAGTCTTCGGTGTCTCTCTTTTTCTCATGCAGACCCACGAAAGAAGTACCATGTTAAACTTCTGGCATATAATTTTGTCGGAGATGGATACCAGGCAGACCAGACTATCAGCACCCCTGGATGTGTCTGTAAGTCCAAGATAATCTTAGAAAGTGAGTTTTGTGTCTGAAATGTGTTGGTAGTAACATTACTGTTAATGTGATTTCTCTCAGCTGTTAGGGATCGCCTGGTGCCACCGCCACCGCCTCCACACAATGTGTACACCAAGACTAACAGTTCCACTGCCATATTTCTGCATTGGGGTCGACCAGCCTTCACCTCCAGCCAGGCGGTCAACTACACTGTCCGCTGCAACCCAGTAGGCCTGCAGAACGCCTCCCTGGTGCTCTACCTGCAGACGTAAGAACTTTTTCATTATTCATCACGTTGTTGTAGGCCGTTTAGCCACAAAAAAACGAAACATTGCATATTTGAAATATTACAGTCATCTAATGAGCCATAATGTAGATTAATGCAGCTCTAAAAGCTACAGTATGTGGAGACAACTTTAACGTTGTTTTCCTATTTGGAGACAAGACATGGATGTGAAGTGAAACCAGATGTAACTCTGGGCTTCGTGTACCTTTCTGTTTGATCTGTTCTGCTCTTACAAATTATGTTATTTGGAAAAAAAACTTCAGCACAAGTTGATTATCACTGCATCATTTCACTTTACTGTTTATAAAAACTTCTCACTCAACAACAACAAAAAACTTGAGTCACAGTGGTTGATTAAAGTTTTCAGGTCACTTAAACTACTCTGATGTTTCCTCTGCACACTACCTGCCCAGCTCCATACCACCACCTGCTGGCCAAGACCCTTTATTAATTAAGGACCACTTTGTAGACACAGTGAAACTTAATAACATCTGCAGATTATTACAACTAAATCAAATATATTAATTTGAAGTCTGCACCATGGGATTTTTTTACATTTATTTAATAGATAGAAGTCCAACTCCTCTGAGTGTTTATTTTAGAGATCGTCACAACCGCGTTGAGACACAATAGCAAGTTAGACTAAACTGATTCGTATGATGGATTTTTATCTGGCCTGAAGCAAATATGTGATGTTTACATCCTTATTACGTCTCTCTGCTGCAGGAATGAGCAGAGACTCCTGGTGCGAGAACTGGAGCCCAACACCAAGTATGAGTTTGCCATTCGACTTCACATTGACCAGCTCTCCAGTCCCTGGAGCCCCGTGGCCTATCAGAGCACTTTCCCTGACGGTGAGAGCAAACTATCAAACATTTCAGTGTTATTATTAATAATATTTCTGATTCTGAAAGATTTGGTGATGGCAGTTTTGAGTTATGAGGTGTGACTGTAGATATCACTCAATATACATTTCCAAACAAAATCTCCAATACCTTTCTTGTTTTCCATTGTAAAATAGAATAAACAAATGATTCTAGAGACTCTAGAGAGTTATTTATTGAAATGTGACTTGCGACTGTTAGGCCAGTATTTCCTTACATATTGGTATGCCCCATTAAACATGATCATTCAAACAATGACAATGAAAGGACATCTTTTAACTTACCTCTGTTTTAATGTTCAAAATGATTTCTTAGATTTTTTTTTCTTGTTTGTTTATTCCCACACAGCTCCCACTCTGTCCCCCTCTAATGTGAAAGTGACTCTGATTGAAGTGGACACAGCGCTGGTTTCATGGAAACCTCCAGAGGATCCCAACGTAGCTGTTACACATTACACCATCCTGTATGCCACCAGACACGCCTGGATCGCTGGGGAATGGCAAGTGCTGCAAAGAGAAGGTGAGGAGACTGTTATAGAGATACATAATACAGTATGAGCAGTGGAGGGGGAAACACAAAGACTTCCTCCTCTACCACTCCAAAGGTCCATTGGAAATCAGTAACTCATTTCAACACTATCCTCCTCTGTTCATGGTGCCAGGATGGGTTGAGCTCAGTGCTTTTGTCTTACTGATAAGATTGGAGGTTTCATTAAATAACAACAAAGACTTTGATTTACCCTCGTATTGACCTCATTAAAACAAAGGCCATTTTGAACTTGTGCTGTATAAAGAACAGAATATAATTAGAGATGGACAGTCCACATACAGAGTCGATCTTTAAAAAATGCAGTTCACTGCAGCTTTAAGCTCTTATCCTCATTTAAACAAATACAAAAAAAAAGCTTTACTTTCTGTCTCTGTGGAATCTGAATTATGGATTCCACTGTTCTGGGAAGAAAAAAGTGTGTGTCAATTTAGAAAGAGACCTTTGAATCGACAGACTCAGAAATATAAGATGTCAGTCTAGTCTGTTTATAACAAAATAATAAATGTTTGATATATTTAAGACAGGAAAAATACATTTATTTTGAAAGACTTGGAAATTGAATATCTCTATCCTAAACCAGTCCTCTCATTCTCATCTATCAAGCTCTTGTTGTTTCTGGTTCTTGAGGCAGCCTAGGTGTTTTCAAGATCATATGACCCCCCGAGAAAACACACAAAAAAGACAAACACAATTCCCCAATGTCTAAAGTGAAGCCTCTCACCCAGCCCCCACCACCTCTAAGTGTTTTTTCACCAACAGGGAGCATCACCATGGCTCTGCTGGAGAACCTGAAGCCCGGCCACATTTACTTTGTGAAAGTTTCTGCATCCAACAACATGGGCGACGGTCCTTTCTCTCAAACAGTGGAGCTGACGGTGCGAGCAGATCTCTCATCTGGTCATGATCCGCGACTCCCGCGAGGCTCAACACAATCAACAGGTTGGTGACACATGAACCCCCTGATATCCTGGGTTCGGGGTTCTTTTTTAACAGAAATTGAAGATTTTGAGGCTGCACTTTGACTGATGATTCACGATGTTACTTTCATCCTCCACAGCCTTTTCTGATGGCTTCTACCACCTTGACCAAAAGTCAATGACAGGCATCACTGTGGGAGTCTGCATCGCTTTCATCTGCATCATCATCTGCGCTTTCATCATCGTTTGCAGAGGCAAAAACAGGTAACAGCCACATTCCTCTGAAACATAGCCCAATAACAATTTAACAGTGAAGTCTCTGTTTCCCTGAGGTTCTTTTCTGTCTGTAGTAAAGTCATGTTTGTGTCCCTGCAGGAAACTTTCAGCAGTAAAAACAAACGGTGAAGGATTGAGCACAGCTGCAAGTGCAGGACATCTGGGCTCTGAGAGACAAGCTGAGAACGCTGATGTGACCGTGCCAATGATGAGCCAAGAACATTTCATTGATAGCAAGGTATAATCGCTTTGTACAACATGGAACATGGAACCCATTATTTACAGGCCAGAAAATGTTTAGAAACTGGGAATTGTTATCAGGGTTATTCATTTGAAAAAAGGTCAGAACCAAGAAATATAAACGGTAAAAAATTAATGGAAATAAGCAAGGGTCTGCAAGAGGATTCATACAAATGAAAATTGTTTGTACTTTATTGTTGGTACTGGATATGGCTCATGGTTTTCTTTCGTAAATGTTCTTTCAATTACAGGGTGGAACAAACCTCATTATTAATTCTCTGGGCCCTGTTCAGTCCAGCACTGAGAAGAAAGAGAAATGGTTTTCCTTCAGCAGTAACATGAAGAAGGACAATAAAGCAGCACAGGTGAGATGAGGAATGACGAGTCCTGCTTGTAGAAGTGTCATCAGTAGATTCCCTAATCTCTTGTTATATGATCTCTGTACATTACTGCTACTTCCTCACTTTAACTTTGTTTAACTTTGAGACTTGATTCTCATATTCAGAGTTGATTCATGTCCTCCTCAGCTTGTTCTTGTTTTCTAAGTATTTGTTACAATGTAAAAAGAAAGAATGATAGAAATTTGTCTCAGTCAGCTAACTGATCAAACATGTATCTGTGCTGTAGAGCATGAGACAAGGAGCTGCCTCCTACCACCCTGGTACCACAGTGTTGACCTTTGAAGAGGAGCTGGCCCTTTCTCCAGACCAGCCCAGCACACTGCAGGCGCTGCTCTGGAGCCCCGGGGACACAGAGGGCTCCTCCAACAGCGAGGGCAGCCACGCAACTGGTGACTCAGGCCGTTACTCCCACGACGAGACAGAGATGACCAACCTGTCATCTGGACACAGCAGCCGTCCGCCGTCTCTGTCAGCGGAGGACAGTGGAGACTCTGACTGCAGTAACCCTGCTGAGGAGCCGCTGGAGCTGATAGAGAACAGCCAGACTGACCGGTCCATTCAGAGCTACTGCTGTCAACAAGAAGCACAGAACAGCTCTCAGTCTGTGCTCTCTCTACAAGTGTGTGGGCGTGTGGCTGAGTGTGTGTGAGAGGGTGAATGTGCACTTGTGTGAGTGTGTGTTTATGTGTGTGAAAGCTGGGGTAAACTTGCAAAAACTGTACTTAAGAATACGAATCGTTCAGCACACCATAGACGTACATTTTTGTGCTTAAAATATATTAACATTGCAGCAAAATTAAATGAATAGTTCAACATTTTGGGGAAATCTTATAATTAACCATATTGTGGAGGTAAGAGGTACCACTCCTATATCTATTTTGTCAACTATAAAGCTAATCCCAGCAGCTTAGTTTAGAACAATGACTGTAACAAGAAAAAAAAGCATAGTGTGAGTCAATCCAGCACCTATACAACTCCCTGATAAACATGTTATATATTGAAAAAATGACAAGTTCAGTTTTATTTGAGGTAATTTGCAGGACTAATGCAGGAGTCTGTGCTGGTTGCCTGGTAACAGCTTACAGCCAGTTGTCAGGCAGGTAGTCCACTGTAAATCTGTGAATTGATGTTTTAACGCAGATGTTTTTGGAGATATTAAACAAACATGATATGATGTGTTAATTGTAAAATTTTAGAGTCACTAGTGGACAGAGCCTGGCTTATTGTTTCCCACTTTCCTATCTGTACACTAAGCTAACAGGCTGCTGGTGCTTTATTTACTGTAGTGGTAAAAATCTTTTCATCCCAAAATGTTAAACTAACCCTTTGATTTTACGGTTGCCACCTCAATCAACAGCAAGTTATTTATCCAAGTGTGCCCTATAGTCGTTTCCATTTGCAAGTGAACTGCCAGCCTGAATGTCAGTTTGAGAGAGAGCTGTAAAGAAATGAGAGAGTGAGACCTCTTTTTTTAACCTTGGCCCACTTTTTGTCCTCGACATAACAAACAGGAAGCCGACAAAGGCCTCTCTCGGTGTAAGCTGTTGGCAGGTGCAGGTCATTTGATTTCTTTTACTTGTTTCTGTTTTATTCAATGAATGTCTTTTTTTTTTTTTTCTTTATTTGTGTGTGTCTGTGTTCGGAAAAAATCTCACCCACCATGAATGTTTAAAAGACTGTCCAAAATGTGGCCAAAAGTTACATTTCGGACATTATTTAAAAGAGTTTATCACTGGAGCAAAAAGGGAAGCGTGAGTCCTTTTTGCTTATTATCTACCTCGGTTTACCTTTGGGGTGAACTTACACTGTATATTTAAAACTACTTATACCTACGTTATGTGATGGGCTGCTTCCGTTACATTACATTTGATACTTCCTGATGAATTTTTACTCATCGTCATCCCATTGTGTGTTTTCCTCTCTTACTTTGTTCTGATTTGTGGATGGTAAGGGCGCTGCAGCTTTCTCCTCTTGCCCCACCTGCTGTGTGGATCAAAGAACTGAAAACACACAAATTGTTTTTATTTATCCCCTAAGATGCTGAGCCAGTATTAATAATGTTTTATCTTCATTTTGTCCATTATTGAGTAATGGAGTGAAAAGATAATGAATGTGTGCTTTTGTTTTTGTTCTGTTCATTAGTGCAGCTGCCCTTACCATTCCTGTTTTATACTACCTCGGTTAAGAATTTATTTTGTTGTCTTGTCATTTTCCTAAACTCAGGGAACAAGGTTTAGTACAATTGAAAAGTCATGTAGTGTTACATGGTGAACTGACAGGGTATCTTCTCAGTACTAAACTGTTTAAACTAGTGTGTTATGGCCTTTAAGAAAATGCTATGAATGTATGTCACATTGTGTGCCAGGAGCTCAGATGTTGGTGCTGTTCTCCGCTATAGTTTCTCCTCAGGTCCTGGAAAGTCTGTTTTTTTTTTTGTTTTTTTTTTACAAAAGACTCTTGTTTATTCCTAAAGTCACACCAGAAGTGCTTGCAGAGACATGTTGGTACAGAAAAGCTTTATTATGAATGTGGGAAGCGTCCCTCAGAGGCGAAAACGTAAACTTTCTGAGGGAGAAGCTCCATGCGTGGATGCATCACATGAAGAAGAATGATTGTAGTAAAACCAATGAAAGTGAAGAATTGAATGAACATCATAAGACATTTTTAAAATCTATATATTTTTTAGAAGATAATGAGTACACAATGTAGTTACTTTTTTTTTTCGCTTTGCTGTAGAGTAGATGAAGATTAGCACTTGTCTGCCAAGTAGTTTTGTATTATAGGCCAATGTGCAGTGGTGACTGTGATGCTATAACCCAAAGAGTTGTTTGCTACCTGACTTTATTTTAGTCTCTCAACTAATCTCTGGCAGAAGGTTACTGAGGAATGTGAAATAATCAAAAAGATTAGACCAAAGATTTAAAAAAAAAAAAAAAAAAAAAAAAAAAAGAAATCACAGCCTTTGAGATGAGTTGAGACGCTGCTCCTCAAAAGAAGCCTTGCACATTAGTGGCCTTGACTTGTGACTTGTGACTCAAACATTGTAGAAAGTCGCAGGTTAAAACTCTGAGGAAGTGCCAACAAGATACACAGGCACTTTATGATGATAGAGTGACAATTATTAATCAATTTTATGCACACAAGCCAAATAATCCTTTTGCAGAGTTCCTCGAAAATACTGTTGCAAACAGATGCCTGTACATTGTAGATGAAAATACAGTATATTATATCAATTAGAGATCTATGTCGCAACGTTGCAGTCACTTGTTAATGTGTACCCGCTGATTTTTTGCCTTAAGAATAAGTACAAATATATCAGATTGAATAATTTAAAAACACTGGTTTTTGTTACTTGTACTTGTAAGAATTCTCACAAGATCTACACATTCAGTAGTTTGAGAAATATGAGAAATATTCCCAAGATACCATAAAACCTTTTACACTTCTGAATTTACATAAGAGTTTAAAAAAGTCAGTGGGTGCACAAACATTTTCACGTCTGCATTTTTAATCAGAGGATTCTGCAGAGGATTCAATCATGGGAAATATTGCGGCATGAGAAATGACACAATCAGTTTAACTTTATTTGAAAGCAAACAACATAAACCAAAGAAAGGTCACCGTTGCATATTGGCAAGAGATCATTTTAAAAACATTCTATCCTAGTGTGAAATGTCCTTTTCAGGGCTCTCATACTCATTTAATGATTGTATAATGTGTCCACCTAAAAAGTAGAAAAGTAGAAATCAAATGTTAGGTTTCATTATGATCACCATCTATTTCCAAAAAATCAAGTTGCCCTCTTCTTATTTTTTTATTGGTAAAAATGTCTGTCATGTTTAACCTGCTTTTCAAAGTAAAAGAGACGTAAACCTTTCATTTTATTTGAAACCTATAATGTATTCCTATAACCTGTTTTATTAGAGCTTTAAGGGCTCAATCCAGAGAATGAAATGGGCATTTTGTAGTTCAGATAGGTTTGTGTTACTTTTCATATCTGATAGTGCAGATGTGATATTCCTGGGTCATTAATGTTTGTAAGATGAGGATGAAGATGGATCTTCATCACAACAAGAGACCCACCATGTTGGTCTGCTGTCTTTCATCTCGTGAAAAGTGTTCTGTTGGATGTATGTCCTGTCCCATCATGTGAATTCAAAGGGGAAAAGTTCTTCCTTTTTGCAGTAAAGCTGTGTTTTTAGATCATGTGTGGGTGGAGCGCTGTGGGTCATTTACGTTCAAACTCAGGGAAAACCCACAGTTGTTCCACCTTCAAAGAGAAAGCAGGTTGCGAGTTATGAAAATTGAATGTACCTTTTTGTAATTATTATATGTTTTCTGCTATTTTATGTTTATGTTTTGTAAAATTGTCTCTGTTTGTCAAGAAAATCACAAGATTTTTTTTTTTTTAATTTTCGCCGAAAATGTTAATCAGAAGATTTTAGATGGTGATTAATTATGAAAAGTCTGATTCTTACTTGAAATTAAAGAATTAAAAATGAAACTTGTGTGCTGTTTTTTTATTTAATATGCCTTCAATTGTTGTTTAGGTTAAAATCATATTTTAGAGAAAATAAACAAATACTTTATTTTTTAGCTTTATGACTGCAAAGAGTTCAATATGATTATTTTCTTTATTCTGAATTCAAAGTGTTCCTCAAAAATACTTTTTAATTATACTTAATTATACTAAATGTATTACTGAATGGCCTTTGAGAGATGGGAAGTTTTTTGAATTCCAACTTCTAGATCTAGCGCTCACAATTATTAAACAAAATGTATCAAAGTTATTTAGTATTTAAGGTGCTAAATGCAGTAAACTATATTCTGACTGACATGAGACTGACATGTTGTATATGAAATGAGAATATTTTTACTGATGCATTCAGGTAAACACAGAATGTTACTTCTGTAGTCTTCTGAAGGGAGCTATTTTTTTTAATTTATTTTAATTATTGATAAAAAGCTATACCTCTTATGAAACTGCATTGCATTTAATTTAATTTCTCAAACAATGTTAGAAAATATGTTGTAGCTGAATACAATTTAATTCAAATTTTCATATTTCTTCCCAAAGGTACAATGAACAAAGTTAGTGTCAGATTGTTGTTGAAGATACTCAAATAAAATGCAATATTCTACAATACCATACTGGGCTTTTCTTGATCTAAAACTATAATGTCATTTGTATATTATTCTGCTAATTATTTCCTCATTATGCAGTTAGTTTCTAGTCTCTTAAATACCAAAGAAAGGTTGTAACATTTCCACCCCTCACCAATCCAACAACAGCATCAGAATTACTTCCATAACTAATATTTTAAGAATAATAATGCAAAAACACTCCACAAAAAAAAACCTTACAAATAAGCAGACATATATGATGTAAAATTATTTTAATAACAATTCTTTATTCTAATTCTCTCACTGGGAGAGAGTCTTAAATCTGGCTCGTTCAGGCGACAGCTATACCTAAGTATATTGCATAAACTGCATGAAGAATTGATAGCGGAATACTTGGCCTCAGATGGAGCCAAAAGGTTAAGAGCTCCCCCTGCTGACCGGCTGCAGTATACGTCAGATAGGTCTATGATGTAAACAGATGGGTCTGAAATCCAAATGCAAGTCAGTTCATTTGTTCTTCAACCCGGTTTTGTTCAATTCACCTTATATCTTTTTAATTAGTCAATAGAGCAGCTCTTTTAGCCAATCTTTACTGCGCAGAAAAACCTTTTGGACCTCTCATTTCACCGACGATAACTGGCAGAAGGCTGACAATAGTGGCTACTACATCATATTTATCCAACAAAGGTACATCTCAAGATTTGTTAATAAACTGTGTACTTTTTTTTTGTAAAGTTGAACCTGAAATCATAATTCACTTATTCTTTAGTTACCCTTTTTGTGTCAGATTCTGGAAAGACCTAGAGAACGTGTGAAAGAACAAACATGATTAGCATTGAAGATTTGTTTTCTTGTTTTACCAGCAGAGATGAAAAACTGTGCGCAATTGTCAACCTTTTTATTGTATTAGCAAAATGTCATATCCATAAGGCAACATTTCTTAACTAAAACCTATTTTTAAGTATTTTTTATTTGACTTAGAGATTTAGAGTCTCTAAATTGTATTTCTTACAACAAAAAAAAAATGTCAATGATTTTTCAATAACTTTTTTTTCTAAATGAAATCAATTATTTAAGGATTTATGGCTCTTTGTCGCCTGGTCTTTCTGATTGTTTGTTTATTGTTATAAATCAATAAAGTTGATTAGAAAAAAAAAAACCTTACTGCGCAGACTCGCAGGTCACGGGGATATTTTGGCTTCATCCTGTCCAACGTGGGAAATTGAGGGACGCTGTCCAACTGGTTTGACTCTGATGACACGTTAAGTTCAAAGTTGAATCAATAGAAGACTTCAGGGAATAATAATAATAATAATAATAATAATAATAATAATAATAATAATAATAGTGAATAACCAAAGGCAAAGACTGTGTTTTTGGCACTAATGGAAACCCATATAGACACACAAATGTTGTTTTTCTTCGTCTTGTAATCGTGGTAGACTGTCTTGGCGCTTTTCTGTGTCACGCTTCCTTGTTTATATTTTCTTCAGAGCCGCAAGGGTCGTTGGCAAACTGTTGGCTCCTCCCATGTAGAGCCTGTTTGGACGCCGCGGTGGTCTATGGGAAATGTAGTTTCGAACGTTGGGTAAAGGCGTACTGTCGCTGGTCTAGCTGAGCCAGATTAAACTACATTGCCCGCCTGCATTGGGCTTCGCAGTGTTGTTAACTGAAAAACCCGAGGCTAAGGGGGCTAGGCGGCATACTCTTAATATTTACAGTCCATGGGTATGCTGCAATAACTCCGGGGGCTTCTGTAATCAGCTGCGGCGTCTTAAGACGTGAAACACCGGTGAGCTCTGAATGTTTCGTGGTGTATTAGCGAGTGGTGTTGAGAGGCTGCTATTCACAACAGATGTCGCGGAAATGGCACTAAATTATACGTTCTGACGATGTTGTTAGATTTAATGTTTTTAAACTCGCAAAGTTAAATAAATGACTAAATGACATTAGTTGAAGTTAACACACCGAGTTAATGTCAACTATCCACTGCTAACTTCTGCAGTGCTCATTGTTGTTAACTGTGTTGCTGAGGCAAACATAAGCTGTTTACTTTATGAGGCCGCAGGAGCTGACACCACCCCTTACTGTAATCTGTCACCACAACAAGTCGCTGTTTTTGTTTTTGTTTTTTTTACTTTATTTGTTTGTTTGTATGGAAATGTATGTCCAGGTCGTCATCATGACACAAAAAGCTATGTATCATGTAAACCTTTAGGCATCTCACGACCCTAATCAAGGAGATAAGATAATGTAAACACAGTATTTCACAATTTGTGACATATTTTTTTAAATAGAAAACAAGCCATACGATTCCCCCGAGTATTTTCTCAGTGTGAAATAGCCTTAACCTTGCCAGAAAAGAGGCAGGTCTGTTTGTGTGTATCTGATTCTAATTAAGATGTAAGTTTCATATTTCCTGTTGTCATGTCAAGCAGCTCTGATATGACCCTTTTAACATTAAAACAGTCAGGCTGACAAGTAGCAATTTTGTATTGCATTTCAACATTTCAACATTTCAACATTTCAACATGTCAAAATTACATTTTGACATGTTGAAATGTTAATTCAAGAAATCTGTAAAACCATTTTTACACGTTCCAAATATATTTCTACATGTAAAATGTAATTTCGACATGTAGAAACTGATTTGCAGATATCTTTAATTGAATTACAGATATCAGTAATTACTTTTTCACTAGTAAGAATAATTATTACAGATATCTACAATTGAATTTCCACATGTTGAAAAGGGATTGTTACTAGTGGAAATGTAATTTCCCATTTCAATAATTGCAGTATTCAGATATGTGGGCGTGACGGGCCGTCATATTAGTAGTGTACCATACAGCCATTGGTCGACTTTTAAATAGTTCATGAATATTCAACAAATCCTAAAGAGGTTTGAAAATTCACCGCCAGTGGCAGAGACGATTGCAGATGGCAGTGCTATTGGCTCGCGCCGTATGTGTTTTGAAGTGGAAGACAGTTATAGTTTACCTGACATTTGATGTCTGGCACGCCGAAACAAGCGTCTGGTAGGAACAAGGATGTCATTGTTACTCTCTGTTACTCCGCCACATTAAAAATTCTGTCAAATGCAGAAACTGCAGTCTCAGTGTTTCCGTCTCAATTTCAGATATGTGGGCGGGACAATGACTTCATTTCGGATATGTCTGTACATAATTGAAGATATCTACAATGGCATTTTTACATGTGGAAATTAAATTTTTGATATCAACAATTACATTTTGACTAGTTAAAAAGAAAATTTCAGATATCTCTAATATAATTGTTACACGTAAGAATGTAATTGCAGATATCTGTAATTATATTCTTACATGTAATAATTCCAGGTCAAGATATCAATAATGTAATTTCGACTTGTAAGAATTGCATTTTAGATATCTAGAATTAATTTATGATATCTATAATGTTAGAACAATTGTAGATATCGTAAATGAACTTTGTCACTAGTAAGAATAGAATTGTTGATATCAAGAATTAACATTTTTACTAGTGAGTATTGAGTTGTAGATATCATGAATTGGAATTGCGACACGTCAAAATGTCATTATGGATATGTCGACTTTGAATTACAACATGTAAAAATTGAATTGCAGATATCTAATTCAATTTGAATAGAAGTCAATGGCACAAGTTGACTAGTTGTAATTAAGTTACAGATATCTACAATGACCATTTCCACTAGTAAAAATAAATTGTAGATATCTTTAATTAGAATTGTTACTAGTGGAAATTACATTGTGGATATGTCGGCTTGGAATTCTAACATGTCAAAAAGCAATTATTGATATCTACAATTGCTATTACCGCTAATACTTAAATGTTAAAAGGGCTTGCCATAGATCTGAGTCATACTGTGTCATACTGTGTCTTCCTTTAAAGGCTCTTTTCAGTTAGTTAGTTAGTTTACATTTTAGACAGACCACCACATCCAAAGATTAGACACAGCCTTCTTTACAGAATACCTGCTGTTGCTTTTTCCTGACACTATATTTAGATAATGGTTTTCCATATTAGATAGGGTGGTTTAGTTGCAGAACAGGAACATGTGGGGAAGGTGATAGTGGAGAAATATGTTCCTGACACAATGACCTACTTTATCTGTTTCACCGTGATATACTGTTTTTACTGTCTAACCTTTATTTCCCGTAGATCCCTGTACATGGGTGACAAACTGACAGAAATGTCAGAGACTTCAAGTGATACAGAGTCGTCCTGTGGCTGGACCATTGTTAGTAATGAGGTAAAAAGCCAGGTCTTTTCCTTTTCCTTCACAGCTTGTTTTTCATTTGCTGTTCTAAAAAAATGTAAGATGGCAGAAACGACAAAGGGTTTATCGTAATGTAGAAAAAACCCACAGACTCGGTTATTATAATAAACTTTTGTAAAGGAAATTAGAATGTGATAACATAATCCCTTTACATTTTTTTTTATCTCTTATCTCGAATTTTGTTTACTGGAGAAAGATTTCTGAGCTACATTTTCACTGACTTTTGTGATATTCCATATATCTCATTAGATAAACTAGTTTCTTAATGTTTTCAGATACTTTTTGAAACAGTACTGCACAATGATGTGACAGCACAAAAAACAACTTTATTATATTATGAACAACAACATGATCATTGCTAAGGTTCTGCTAGTATTTTGGTAACACAATCCTATTTTTTGCCTAAATCATAAAGTATTAAAAACAGATGTCTTACCTTACACAACAAGGGCATGAGTATTTTTTGCTTATACATTATTGCAGTTGCTGTTTCTTTCCTATTATATGGGATCATTTTGCAGCACATTAAGCTTTATTTACATGTTGCATTCTTCTATGTGTTTTTGTATTTTTGTGGATTGGATAAATGTCTCTGTGTTGTCACATCCAGGTCTGAGGAAAAGGATGTTGGTTGTTATTTATTCCATTTTAAATACACGCTAAGGAAACTTCTACACTGCATTGCCTCCAGCTTTTAGCATCATGCTGACAAACTGACGTCTGTTTAGTAACAGTGGATAATGATTTTCATCTTTTACTTGTTTCTTAGATTAAATGATGAAACTTTGCCAACAGATTCTCTTACGTAGCAACTCTTACTTTGAAATACAGTTTTTCTTACTGAAAACTGAATGTCTGTATTTACTGTTTGACTGCTTCGTATTTGTAAGGCAACACTCTTCATATGAGTCTGAGTTAATAAAGATATATTTATTCCATCAGTTTTAATATCTGCCTATCATGTGTGCAGGGTTCAGATATTGAGACGCTGGGCCCAGAGGCTGTGGTGGAGTATGGAGCAGAGTTGTTAGAGTGCCCTCAAGTGGCCAAAGCAGAGCTGCAGGAACCGGCATCGGCATCTGCTGGTAAATACCCCCCCCCCCCAAAAAAAAGGGTTTTGGAGGTGGGTGGTGTCTGGAGATCTATCAGTCATTGGGGGGTTAGAAGTTGGGTTAGAAATCCAGCTTAATATGTCCTCATTATCATTTATGTTTTCAGGTGCGTGTGCTGAGGAGGAAGCTGCTGACTCACTTGATGACACTCTGGGAGAAAAAACTATTGATGAGACACTCTATGCCTCTGAGGTTAGAAGACCATAAAAGTGACACCTAGTGTGTTACTTTAAATAATCCACAGCGTCTGTATTGCTTTGACCTCTGCCATATCTACCTGTAACATACTGCATCTTCTACAGGCCGGTAACGACACCACAGGGAAAGAGCATGTGACTGTGCTGTCCTCCAGCGATCACTCGGACATCGTGACTCTGAGAGACTTGAAGGAGGATGAGCACGCTGAGGTGGAAGAAGAGGCAGAAGCAAACAAAGAGTTCTATATGGGCACCTCCTGCAGCAGCCAGTATGCCTTCACTGCTGCTGAAACTGGTAAGGCAGCAGAAACGCACTCTCACACAGTAACATACTATCTTCTCAAAAAGTCTACATTTAATTTACACTACAGCCAGACACAAATGTCTTCCTCTGCCTGTTTTCTACATCAACAAAGCAGGTTTGATGTTGAGTCACTGGAAACTTCCAGGAGGCTTTTGAACCTCGGCTACAGCCTGAGAAGTCGGTTCACTGGAGGCCGCTCTGTTCCAGGTGGCCTAATTGAATCTGGAGTGAAGCTTGTATGCTGCTAAGCTTGCTCAGCAAACCACAGACCTAACTTGTTAGTGACTGATCTGAACACATGTTGATGTGAGCCAGCTGTGACTCTTTTGAATTGGGGCTGGGCGATATGGACCAAAAAAGCATAATTTTTTCTATAAAGAATTAACCAAAACAAAGTAAGTTCTAAGTCAAATCTACATGGGCCAAATGTCACACAGGTTCTTTTATTAACAGCCAGCTGCACAATGTCAACAAAGACATACAAATAAACTACCCGTTTGTGAGATAGAAAATGATGATAATAGACAGAAATGTTCCTTAAATAAAATAAATAACAAAAGTTCCTTCCCTGCATAACAAGATACATGGAGCTGTGTATTTTGTTATTATCTTTCTATTATTTGTTTTTTTTTTAGTTTTGCTCAGAGAGAGAGAGGTAGAGCATGGTGAAGAGGGAAAGAGTGAGAAGAGAAGTAGGCTGTACCAAAGAAATATTATTTTAATGCAACATTAACTTTATCGCTATAAACAACATTGTCTTACCCTTTATATCGATATATCTTTAAAACCTTTTATATTGCCCAGCCCTGTTTGAAATGCATGTTTAACCATATTTAAACATATCCACTCTGTTTCCTTCACTGTTTTCACTTGTGTAAGCTTGTTTTGCTGTGTGAAGTTATAAAAGTCTGGTGTTTTCCTTGTAGTTGTGATTCTGAAACTAACAAACATGATTCCACAGAATGAACAGGTTTATGAAGATGTAAAAGCCAGGATCTATCAGAAATAAGAGTTAAAACCAAGAGCCGCCAAGAGCTTGCAGAGCAATCATTGAGAGTTGAAAATGTTCAGAGAGCGGCAAAACACTCTGCCAAATAATTTTTCATGTGATAGCTTTTCATTGTACTGGAAACTGATATAAAACTTCAACAGAGACTGATTGTGGTATCTGATTATATACGTTTTTTTAAGGGCACCGGCTAAGAATCAGAATGACACTGTCAATCATAGCACAGGAATATTACCACAGTCATTTAATTGAGTACACAGATGTAGTAATACTCAAAATCTACTTGTGTCCTAATGAGAGGGTGGTGATAGTATATATTAATTTCTTTTTTCTATTGAAGATTTTTTACCAGCTTTTCATCCTGACTTTTCTTCACTGCAGCTGTATAGCTTTAAGCCTGGTTTATGAAATAACTTCTTCATATTGTCTGATTATATAGTTTGATCTTTGCTCACTACTGGATGTGCTTGACTGTTTCTTGGATTGATATCAATCTTGTTATCTGACTTTGGGTCAAAAAATGGAATAGGAGAATATTAGGAATGATTGAAGAATATTTCTGTTTGAATAAAGGAACATGTCAGACATGTAATTACCTGCATGATTAACCTCACTTGCGCACTCTTTATAAGCCTGTTATTATTGTTACAATGTGAACCTTTTTTTCTTTTGTTTTTCTTTATTTGATACAATCACTGTAACCATGACTGTGCCTTTTCTTCAGTTTTCCCAGTACAACAGCCTGCAGTGACAAACTCAAGCAGCAGTGAGGACGAAGCCGGAAGAAGCCCAAGTACCGTAATCCGAAGACGAAGGTTTAGGAAGAATACCACGAGCATCGTGACGGAGCCTGAAGAGGAGGAGGAGGAGCTGGAGTCAGACCACAGTGAGGAGGAGGAGGAGGATAAAGAACAGAGGCAGCAGGAGGAACAGACTGAAGTTAGTCCAGATGATCTTGATGTCAGCATCCAGGGACAGCGCAGCAGCATCCTCAACAAGTGTGTCCTGATCGCCCTCCTCATCGCCATCAGCATGGGCTTTGGTCATTTCTATGGTAAGAAGTTCACAGAAGAACTGGCAAATCTTAAATTCAGCATAATTGCATTCTGATCATCCTGCATATTTTTAGAGCCTAACTTATAGTAATTGAGTAATTGAGGCGTATAACACATTTGAAAGAGAAAAATGTTCGGAATCAATTTTATAGCTTGAATGAAACTGGACCAGGGAGACCTCACCAGGGGGATTGTACACCCATTTTGCACTTTTGTAACTGGCTTCATATAAGTATTTGAAAAGTTGCCGTCCATGTTGTCAGTAATGTTCTATATGTCTCAGTCTGTCTGACTAGATCTTATTTTGGACATGCTCCTCTCTCTGATCATAAGAACAGTGCACAGGTTATCTCAGTGACTCTTATCTTTAGTGTTCACTACACTGACTTTGTCAATTGTAGGTCATCTACCTGTCCCACTTTTGTTTCTCTTTTTGTTTATAGCCATGTAGACATTATGGACCAATGTAAATTAGAATCCCACCGATAAATCAGCCAGCCGATAATAGCATATCAAGTGACTATTGATATCAGCTAATTTTATAGCAGATATGCGCCAATATTACTAGATTTATTCACCAGTCAAGTAGCATTTCATTTGAGTTTCATTGTATCACACTAGCAGTTCTCTTTCCCCATCAGTGTGCTATATAGATTACAACAACCATCATCACCCTACAGGGTGTCAAGCGCTGATGAACATACACGCACAGTTACTTTCTCGTTGAGAGAACATCTTGTCTTCGTTAAACTGTATATCTTTTTTACAACTGCATTTGAGGGATGAATGCGATACATTTATACATCTATATGTATCTATCTCTACAGATCGAACATAGATCTATAAGGATATCAGTATCGGCCCCAAAAATCTCATATCGGTCGGGCCCTAATGTGGACTGCTGTTACAATTTTTATGTTATGAGTGATTAAATAATGTTCAGTATGTTAATAATCTTACAGGTACAGTCCAGAGTCAAGAAAAACAAAAGACTGGGGAGAAAATCCGAGTGAATGAGCTTGATAGTGTGAGAGATCTGCTTCAGCGACACATGAGGGAACTACCTTTAACAAATGAGGTCAGTGACATCACAGGTCATTACTCAGATAATAAGAATCTGCTGCAGATACCCGACAGTTATCTAGAACTCAAGTGTGTGTCATTCTTTTAGCGGTATGACCTGCACGCAAACTTCTTATTTTTCTATTAAGTTTAAGTTTATTTTACTTTCCAGTTATTTTTTAACCAATTATAGAAACCCATAAATAAAACTTTAATTTATGTGTCATTTTGAACTTGTATCTGAACTTGAGGAGTTTTTTCCACTCTGACAGTTAGTTACTGTTATGACTGTAGTCCAGAGTTAGTTAGATAGCATTAGATTTATGATTGCTTTCCTATGATTTGTATATAGCATGCAAAATATTTAGAAACAACTTCACATGGAAATACTCTAAATCTAACGACATCATAAAGTCTAAAAATGCTCTACTGAGCTGAGTGATCACGATGAGTACCAACATAAAACATCACCAGTAGTTTACAGTCAAGAAGGCCTTTGGTGCAGTTGATTTTGACAGATTTTGGAGACTGTTGTACTATTTTTAATTATTAATATTTATAGTAGTTTACTTAAAAAATGAAAACATCAAATGATTCATGTTTTGAGTAATAATTCTCTCTAAAACCAGAAACCTTCCTTTTCTCCCTCATGTCCAGAAGGGTGACTTTGATGACCTGGATGAGCAAAAAGTGATTTCCCTGCTCACAGAGGTGATTGAGAAGATGAAGAAAGAGAACCAGGGGCTCAGCGTCAAACAGGCCCACATTCAGGTCATTTAAAGAACAAGTTGTAATTACTTCTTATTTTGTTTGTGGCAGCCCTTTTGGACCAAATCTGTACATGTGATGTCATTGGACAGTTGTGACAGACAGAAAATAATTGTTGAAAAAGTGAATCTTCTTGCTTATCTCTTGTCGTTATTGTAGATGACTTATTGGTAACCCTCATAAACACACCACCCTTAAAGACATTGCCTCTTCCCCTTTTATTCTATCTTTTCCTATCTAGGCCCAGAGAGATGACCTGGAGACTTTGCTGAAACAGAAGACTGATGAGAGAACTAAGATTATGTCTCAGCAGCAGAGGGTGATGGCGGAGAATCAGCTGCTGAAAAGCTCCCTGGAACGTGAAGAGAAGTCCCTGTCTGCCTTACAGGAGGAGCTGCGAAACCTGCGCTCTAAGATCAGAGAGCGGGAGGCAACGGGAGCTGCTGACTCACCGCTTTCAGAAAACCAGAGGCTGAAAGACCAGCTGGAGGAGGAGAAACGGTTGATCCGAAGCCAGAGAGAAGACATGATGGTTGAAGCACAGACACTGAGGAAGAAGCTGGACAAGGAGAGGAAGGTCACAGACGAGCTGAGGAGAGAGTTAAACCTGCTGAGAAGTCGTATGTCTGGAGAAAAGGACGGCGGTTCAGGGTCAGATGAGCTGCAGTCACGACTGATGGAGCTGGAGAAGAGACTGAGCTTTGAGCAGCAACGCTCTGACCTGTGGGAGAGGCTGTATGTGGAAACCAAAGAAGACAGATCCAAGGGAGACACAGAGTCTAAAGTGAAAAAAACCAAGGAGGGCATGGCAGGTAAAGTTAAAGAGACATTTGATGCTGTGAAGAACTCGACCAAGGAGTTCGTCCATCACCATAAAGAGCAGATAAAGAAAGCAAAGGAGGCTGTGAAGGAGAACCTGAGGAAATTCTCAGATTCCGTTAAACTGACTTTCAGAAACTTCAAGGACTCAGCGTCAACCTTCGTTAACAAAGCCAGAGGCTTTTATGAGAAGAGACATGGAGAGAAGAACAGAAAGGAGTCGTGGCAGCACAGATACAAGCCTCACCACAGACACTCGCACAAATACGACGAGTCCTTCCAGAGCAACGACAACACGCGAAAATCAGGAGACAAAACTCACCAAGATGAAGGTCCAAGCACCCACAAGGCCAACCACAAAGGATGCTCCGGGGTTTTTGACTGCGCTTACCAGGAGTCCATGAGTCTCTTCAACAAAGCTATGCAGCCAATAAGAGCAGACGAGTTTTACCAGCTGATGCGGAGCTACCTGCAGCAAGAGGTCGACCACTTCCACCACTGGGAGGAGCTTGAGATGTTCATCAACAACTTCTTCCACAATGGAGTGTTTATCCACGACCGCATGCTGTTCACAGACTTTGTCAGTGGCGTGGAGGACTATCTGTCACACATGCACGAGTATCATGGCCACGATGACGATGTGTTTGAAGATCTGGATGACTACATTTACAGACACTTCTTTGGAGAGGCTTACAGAAAAAGCTACGGCCCGCGGTAGGTCTCCTGAGGTACTAAGTATTTTGTTTTACAAGTGTCCACCTGAATGACGTATTTGCATTGAGCAACTTTTGTGACAAACTACGGTATCATTTCCAAGAATTCTTTTGAAATAAAAAAAACAAACAGACAAACCCTCTAGCAACAGGTAGCATTCTGTCACTTAGAAATTAGTATCCCATTTTTTTTCATGATTTTTTTCTTGCAAATGAATTCTTGTACCCAAATGTTCTGAATGAGTTATTTGCAGAAAAGCTTGTGGACAGAGACTCATAGTCACTTAACACTCAATGACTGAGAACTGATGGGCTGCAGTTATATTGATCCATTAAATGAGAAAAACACGTTCTTATGTTGGCAGTTTAAATCCGAGATACAACAATACTCTTTTTTTGTTGATTGATTAATCATTGTATCCATCAAGGTGGTTTGATAGGATGTGCTCATTATAATGTTTTCTGTAGTTTGTGAGTATTTAATGTGAACCTCACACACTGTTGGACACGTTCGGCAGGGAAAGCATTTTGGTTGGATTATAACATAAATCTTTTATTTAAAAGACATGACATTGCCAACAGTATTATTCCAGTTACCAAACTGCATCCACGTTGTTTAACCTTTTATACCAGAAAGACATTTTCACAGATAAATTGACCTAACTACTCGTTGACCAAAATGTCTTCTAGTTGGGAACTTATTGTTTTATAAGAAACATGGAAATCACATTGGACTCTACCTTTATAGCATTTCTTAATGTCTGTCTTGGATTTATGAACTCATACTTATCCTTCAGCTTTTCTTGATCATTTTTGTCATTTAAATCATTGTATCGTTTTAATTTAAATTAATAATCAGGCCCTTTATTTTTTGTTTCAATCTCACAGTGGGCCCTTTGAGAGACCCGATGACTCGAAGGAATCGTCGAGGGCGAAGCATCACCAGCGAAAGCAGCAGAGAGCCAGATCTCAAGCTCACGGTGAACGCAAGTGGAGCCGATCAGGAAAAACCACAGACAGACACATAGATGATGTCAAAATAGAACTGGGTCCAATGCCGTTTGATCCGAAATACTAAAACCTTCAGCTGGGTTAATGTTATTGTTGCTAAATTCTATTTCAGGTTGTATTTAGATGCTTTTATTTGTAAGTTTGCACAATGTCAATGTTTTTGCTACTGAATGTCCTTCATCTGTTCTGCCTTTAGTGAAGTTGTTGTTTTTAGGTTTGCCTGAAAGATGTGGCATCGACGTTATCTTCACGTTAGTAACTCAAGAAGTCTCACTTTATTCTACAAATGTAAAATATATTTTTGACCTCTAGATGATTTCCTGCTAAAACATCACTGACGCACAAAAACAACTTTAGTACTTACAGTATGTTTAAAAAAAACAAAAAAAAAAAACATAAGGCACGTACTATTCATTGGGAATATGACTGTTGTGAAATTTGAACAAACATGAAACAAAGACTTGCCTAGTTTGGGTGTTTTTGTGTCAAGCCATGTAGGTGTTTTAATTTCCTGATACAAAAAGCTATTTGCTTGTGTTTCAGATTTTCTCTCTCAAACATTCCACCTCAAGCTGGTTTTAACTGGACCTGAAAGTTTGATTGACATTACTGGGAATCAAATGTCACACCAAATCTTATAAATGACACAGATAAAAACACACTTTGAGAATTTATATTTGAAATGATACTTCAAAATGACATTTGAGTTAAATATATTTATTTCAGTAGCATGTTGTTCTCTTTCTAAATAGAAAAGTTTTCCAGTGGTTTTCAGTGCCTTTCATAAATAAAGATGCTTCCTCCAACTCTTCCCTCAGGAAAATGAGTGTGAAATATCTCTGCTGTCCTCACAAAGTTGTTCCCTTTCAAAAAGACAGAGATCTCCTACAACAATAAAAAAAAAAAACCATTCAGGTTAGACTATTAAAAGTTTGATACAGACAAACTATAATCTGTGAATATCTCACCGTCTCCAGGACATCAAACAGAACCAGGTGAGTCGGCAGAGAAGATTTGTAAGGAAATGATTTCCTGAGCCAGAGAAGAGGGTCGTCATAGAAACTGTCCGCTTCATCCACATAAGCTTCCTCTCCGAGATCCGGAGGACACTCGAGAAACCTCATCTTCATTGGGCAGTGAACATGACTACAAATAGAGAATCAGGACAGCACAAATGAGGAAAGTTTGATTCATCACACGGCCAGTTATCAAGTCATTAAAATATATAACCGTCTATTATCCGAGATGGACAACACTGCAAGCACTCTAGCTGAATGTGCTCCCTGACACGAGCAGCTCAGAATCTTAATACAAAAAAATTGTGATTGTAGAAAGTGAACCTTATTATTTCAATGAGGAAATGTTACATGCTCATCGCTCCTATATTTTAGTAATAAAGGTTTTTCAAATCAAACACATCATTCAGCTCATCACTGTCCCTGAGGAGTGAAGTGTACCTGTAAAAAGGCGTCGAGTGGCAAGGCATGAGGAAGAGGACGTCAGGAGGGGTGGAGGAGCTGCTTGTGTCACAAAGCGTCTGGATGTGACTCATGACATCCAGAGTTCCTCGCTGATGGACCAGGCCGGTGTACAGAGCGGCTGTCAGGTTACTCAGCAACAACACAAATGCAGCAGCTCTTCTCCACTCTTTGAGACTAGCCAACGAGATCCCTGTTGAAGAAGAATAAAGGAATGTAAACAAACATCTGGCCGGTCTTTGACAAAAATAGATATCTGATGTGAAATTGAGGTCCTACCACAGAAGACCATGCAGAACGGCAGCACCGGATATATGAATCTGAACTCCTTGTGAGGAAGAAAACTGGAGGGAAATAATTCAAATGTTTCAGTTTGTCTGAGGAGGCTTATAATATCATTAACGGCCAGGAGCCATGTTTGTCAAACTGCTTAAAGATTACATGAGATCTTTATACAGAAATGCAGAAAGACAGTGAGGAAGAGATAAATACAGATGTCATCAATCATTTTCAAACTTATCAAAAAGATAACTTTTTAACTGTCTTACGGTGAAGGAGAAGCCAATGTGTCCACAAAAAGGTTGTACCTGTACACTATGATGGTCCAGACGACTGCTGCCAGGAGAACTTTATACTTTTTGAAGGCGAGGGTGCACCCGTGAAGAAAAAGAGGAAGATGAGTACTCATGATGACGGGAAACCCCTGAGTGAGGTACCAGTGCCAAGGGTGAGAGCCGTAAAAATCTGCCACACCATGGAAGATATTAAACTTCAGGAAGTTCAACTGCACCAGGGTCAACTAAAAAAAAAAAAAACACGACAGAGAGCAGCTGTTAGCTTTGAATTTAAGTGCAATAGGTCACATGATTTGAGAATCACATTGATTTCATGTTTTACCTTTTCATAGAATATACAATCAATCAGTGTTGACATCACAACAGCCACAACTCTGCAAACAAAAGACGCATAATAATTAAAGACTGGAGGATGAAATACAGATTAAATTGGCATTTAATTGAAAATACAAACCCTATGGGAAGGTAGTTGTGAGTGATGATCCTCAGTTTGTTTTCTTCCTGACAGAAATGGTACATCAGCAGAGGAAACCAGACTATCAGGGCTGTGGGTCGGCAAACGACCGCCAGGGCAACCAGGGTCAAATATTTGTTGCTGGAAAAACATCAATGAAATATCTGTTAAAACATGATTTTATGTATATGTATTCATATTTAAAGGTAAAACAGAGAAGTTAAGAGCCTAGACCTGCTGTGTTGTTTAGACCCAGGGAGGGGAAAGTAACACAGAGCCAGATAGGTGAGGGTGGTCTCCAGGCTGTTGGTGAGGGTCCTGGTGCAGCAGTACCATGAGAACCACGAGCAAAGATGGCAGAAGAACTACAGACCAAAACAAGAAGAAAAGGTGAGACATGTATCTGAGGTAAGAAGAGAACTGAGACGCATGACGCCTCAGCGAACTGCCAACAAAATATGGCATGATATGTTTTTTTGGGGGGTGGGTTGATGTGTTGTAGAGCATAAGACAATTTCCACAATGGGAACAATAAACTTACTAAACAATAAGAAAATGTAAAAGAAATCAATATTTATCATCAAAAGTTTGAGCAAATGCTAAAAGTCTACCTAAACATACAAAGTAGTCATGTTTTGGAGACTTACATTCTTTCAGTTTTGTTTTTTTGCATTCATGGAATAAAAACGTTCCTTATTTAAAATCTCCCTCACATTTATATATTAACAGTAATACGTCTGTCATGTTTAAAGTCCTGTGTGCAGAATCCCCTTCAGTATATTACTCAGTGTCTTTACCGTCCAGTTGGCCACATCTGGACTCTGCAACGTTCGTATCAGGAAGAAGAATTTTACGTCTGCAAACGCAGCCAGGAGTGCTTGAATGATTCGAGGCAGCCATATCTGCAGAACAAAGCCACACACAGAGGAGTGAAAAAAGTACTAAAAAGAATGAAATAAATTAACATATTGATTCAAAGACTTGTCTGGATAGAAAACGTGTTAACTTACCAGAAGAAACACTGAGTCATAGCTTAAGAAGTGTAATATCTTGAAGATAAATGCAAAGAAGAGTGGATAGGAATATCCTCGTATTCCTTCTGTCCATTCCCAGGTCTGATACCCATAAGTCTCCCTGTTAAGGTAGTACAGAATGATTGAACTGGTTCCACTGGTTACAAGGTTCCAGCTTCACAAATGTGATGGGGGGGGGGCTCTTTTGTTTTTGTTAAACTGTAAAAAAAAAAAAAAAAGCGGTGTACAGAGTTCCAGTTCTACAAAACAAGTCAAAAGCTGCAGTTTCTGCACATGAATGCTGAAAAACCCACCTTCAATAATTATAGTTTAAAAACTCCCACAATGGGATTAAACCAGAAAAAGAAACATATTTGATGTGCTCCCCCATAAGGAACATGTCAAGTTTTCCATTCATGACACTCTGAATTCAAATATTTCATACAGTCCTTGTTAAATTATCCATTTTTAATATTATATGTACTAAGTATTCCTTGTCCTTTTCAGTATTTATAGTATTGCTCTTTTTAGTATCATTTAATTACACCAATTAATTATGTTTTGTTTGACTTCTATGCAGTCATCTTTGCCCTCCTGTGCAGACTGAGGTCACAATGTAGAAGGATATTCGAAGACCATACGATGGGAAACCTCCAGAGCCTGCCAGTACTCATCAGGGACGAAGCTGGTCTGAACCAGGACGCAGTTGATCAGTCTGAACACCAAACAAAACACAACAACTCTGACTCTCAGCCCACCTGCGGAAGTCAAGAGAAATCAGTTCACATCACTCAGAAATGTTTTTTTAAATACGTCACTACAGCATGCACTTTTTATGGTCAGTAGGGATTATTAGTCTGATCTATTTTTTCTTCTCCAATGATAATAATGTCACAATCTGTTGGGGCCCCACCGTCGTTCAGAGCAGATTCTCTTTCCTTTGAGTACAGCTGGGATTTGCGTTTCCTCAGTTTCACGTCATCGCCTTTATTCCCAAATTTCAGCCGTGATCGGATGTTCTCCATCAGCGCATTTTGTCTCTTAGCTTGTCTGCACAATCTGCTGTCGACATGACACCTGTCAGGATGTATGTCAGGTATGTGGAGTCAGATTCACAAACTCTGTGAACTCTCCAGCAACATGAAAATAAACCTAAAGACCTTCAGCTCTAAAGTCAGGCGCTTCAAATGACGCTTCACGTTATTTAACTGTGGAATTCAACTTTGCAAAAACAAACTCAATGACATTTCATTCTTACAAACTTCCATTAAGCACGGAAGGAACCGTGCTCAAATGTTTGTCTGCGCTTCCGCATGCACACCTATTTCCGGTTAATCGCAGTTTCCCGCCTTCAAAGTAAAAGTGGAATTTCGCATAAATTACAGTAAATTTTATAACGAGGGGAATGGTAACACCATGGGTAAAACATTTAAATTATACGAAAAAATATGCAATTGGACTTACAAAATATAATTATAAATAAATAAATGAAGCACTTCAAATATTAACTTACCAACAAAAACATTTAAGATGATAAGTAGTTATTTACTTTAGTATTCATGTGTTATTACTTTACCTGGATCCATTTCAGTTAAAAACTCACCAAGCAATGAAAAATGTGAAAGGGTACATTCACTCATATGCTGTATTTCTAAATGCAGATTTGAGGTAGGCTACTTGTACATTACTTGTGCATTTCCTTATCATCACACTTTATGTGTAATTTTTTACATCTCAGGGGCTTTTTTCTGGGCTTTTTTGCAGATGTTGGAAAGCAAAACACACAAACCCGATGAAATATGACGCTAATCAACCCATGTCAACCACAGCAGTAAAATACAGCCTCTAGATCAATACAAGAGCGATAATAATCATCAGATGCCATATGTAAGAGAAATCAGTGGCATGGGAAAATGTCTGCATTGAGTAATTTTAATGAATAATATGTTTTTGCCATGATTTATCATGAGATAGGCTACTATAAGTTGAACTAAAGCAAAATATCTTAATACTGTTTACTTTTAGCTCAAGTCTTTTTAAGGTCCCTGAGGTTAATGTAATGAAAACACTGTCCTTGAAAGAAGAGGAAGCGTGTTCCTGAACACTCCGCTAGGTGGCGGACTACTACAGCTTGTTGCTGTTCTTCCGGAATTTACACTAGAAGAAGAATAGTGTCCTGTCGTGTCTTTGAGGTCTAAGGTTTGTTTGTATCTTCAGTGTTTTCCTCTGTGTCCTTCTGTCCGTCTGTGTCCGGTGATCATTAAAAACCTTGAATGAAAGCTCTTCCTTGGTAAGTAACAAATATCGCAGAGTTTCACCTCTAAAGCAGCATATCTGTCACGCTTGTGTTGAATGTAGATACACAGCTAGAACCTGTAAAGGTAGTGAACGCAATATGAGTACATCCGGGTTGGATTTTCAACGTAAAACTAAAACTGTATCGAAATTCCCATTAAAATATTTCTAACATCCTGGAGAAATACATCAGTATTGTATTGCATGTAGGTTTTTTTTTGTCCAGTAAAACAAAATATTCCAATGATCTAGTTGTCCGTTTGATTGATCTGATAACTTGAGTTGTTAAATGAATGCAAGTTATTAATGAATGATTGGATTATTCATTTATATATTTGGCTCTGCTTACACTTTTAAAACTATAGCATATGTCCAGCACTATGTAGAGTAACTAACAGACTCCATGCAGCAAGGTATGCTTAACATTTTGCAAGAACGTGTAACATTCAACAGAGCACAGGATTTGCAAAACGATTAAAAAGACAGTTTATCAAGTCTTGGATAGCATTACTTTTCTCCTGTTTTCATGATCTTTCTTGTATCTCAACAGTGGGAATTCACAAAACCAGACATGTTTCATAGAAGAATACCCTTCACACAGCTGGCCTTTGCCACGCTGCTTGGAGTTGCTGGTGGTGTTTACATCTACAGACCTTATTTTGAGCTGAAGCCCTCAGGACAGAAGAACCAGGATGTACCAAAGAAACACAATGAAACAGACTGAAATAACTTATCACTCCAAGGAAATGCTTCACAGAAAGAACAACAAAATACTGCTGGACTGTCGGAGCAGGGTTCCTTAAGAACAATCCCCATATAGACTGATTCAGGCTTCTTTGGGGTTCCTTGTATGATTGTTAATATTCACAATAAAATATGTAATGATTTTACCTCCAGAATTATGAATCTGTGTGTCAAACCTGACGGAAATTCTCTAAAGCCCCTCCTCACCATTAAAACACATACACAATACATCATTTATACTTTGTATAAGTGCCAAAACATTTTTATTTTTTTTTGCATTGGAGGATATTTTGAGATCACTTAACTTTACTGCATGGATTAGTATTTCGTAAAAAATAAAAGGTCAATGTTCTCATAAGCTTGACAATGGTCCCCATTGAAAACCCCAACCAAGTATTTTTGTTCATGACATACCCTTCATTTTCTTCCGTCTTCCAAACTGAGCTGTTTTATGCAAAGAGAACATTTTTCATAGCAGATTTTGTTTGTCAAGCTTGGAACAGTAAGATCATTTCTCTGTTTGCAGGGTAACGCAGTAAAAATGTTTCATGTCTGACCAATAGTTTTTGTGTGTTCATGTATGGACACATACATGAACTTGATAGGATATATAATATAACCTTTATTAGCAAATTGAACTTAAAGAATCATGCATAGGCCGACAAGCATGTATATTTTCCTGTAATACCATACTGTCTCAAAAATAAGCAAAATATCTTATCCCAACATTAGTTAGCTGTAGGCTTGATTATTTCAATTCCTTATTTTTAGAGTACCGTAAAAAGTATTTAAACACTCTGAAACCGTTTCAAAAAGCTGCTTCATTTACTGACAACAGGAATCGCGTTTCTCCCGTTGTCGTTTCTCTGCAGTCGTGCTTAGAAATGATCAAAGAAAGTTTTAGATACCTAAAGTATCCAGAGTAGCCAATGGAAAGCATATGTTTCAGTTTTCCTTTTGGATAAAGCGTACAGTTAAGGCTGCATCAGGTTTGCCTTGATCCTGCCTTTAGTAATATAACTATGTTAGTGAAATAGTCAATTATTTGACAGAAGAGTAAAGCAGCATGAATGGACATACTCAAATAAAGTAGATTAACATGGAGTTGAGTTAATGTGCTCATTTTGAGTTACCTTTCACCCCTGGTTGGTACTCAGCTATCTTTTATGTAGTTCATTGAAAAAATAGTGTAGGCTACATATTTCTCTCTGACACATAACCTAATGCAGCAGTTCCCAACCTTTTCTCTTTGGATTTTAGTTATGTGCTAATCTAATTTTAACAACCTAAGCAGATAAAGCCCCACGCAGCCCTTGAGATCTTTGGCGCCCCCTTAGGGGGTCTCGGACCTCAGGTTAGAAACCAATAACCCAACTGAATAAAAACAACTATTAGATATAAGCTAATTATTTGAGTTTACTAACTTGAGCAGCTTTAAATTTGGCCCATGGTTAGCCCACTGTTCAGCTTGTCATGTTCTTGTAGAAGACCTTCAGTGCTCCTCATCGCAGTGTGGGGAGGAGCTGTTTCAAAACGAGGCACCCACTCGGAAAGTAAAGGTGCTGCTCAGTGCAACAGAAGCTGTTCTCATGTCAACTAATGGCTCAGAGGAGACGAAGAAAGTAAAACATTTATTTATTCACCTATCGGAAAAGACTTGCGCGGTCACCTCCAACTTATTATTTTAACACCAGGACACAGTGCGCAGCAGCAGCTACACCCCGGGGCTGGTGAGTAGTTTGAGAACTGTTTTCCAGGAAATGTCTGTCGAAGAAGTGAGTCTGTAGCATCTGTCAGAACTCAGAGAGAGGTTGATAACTTTGGTTATTGTGTTGGTTTTAGGTTTACTGCCGACATTCACCCTCACACAACTAAAGACATTTGAGAAACATTTTTAACACCTGCTTTAACCTCCTATCAGAGTTGTTGGCTTTCTCCAACTTGGTCAATAACATTTACAGACGAACACCACAGCTGGTACGAGTACAAACTTTTTTTTTTTCTTTAACCAAGACTACAAGATAGTTAACCTAACTCGGCATGTTTGGACCCATAGGGTGCAATAAGTTAGACAGATAAACTGCGAGGTTGGCGTCCAATGAAATCTACTTGGACACAGGCAGGATTCATATAGCTTAGTAGTAAAGTAAAAGTGGGGTTATTCTTGATAATAAAAAAAACCCCATTAAACAACCAGTGACATTTACATGAGGACCTCCCCTTCATTTCCCATTTGTTACAGTTAACCGATTTGCTGTTTATATGTTTGCGTCTTTGTTTTATCGTTTGTCACCGCATTAAATCCTGACACGGCATTTTAATGACGACACATAGTTGCCATTATTGTCAGCCAGAGGTTTCGAGGATGCTTGATGACCTTATCGAATCATTGCATTTTGTTCCGAGTATCATCATAGTGTCCCAATTGTTTTACACCCTTTTAAAGTTTATGGTATGCGCGAATCCGGACTTTCCCGAGGAGCTGCTGGCCTCTGTGTTGGACAGCTGCCCAGGGTGGGTCCTCCACTTCCCCCCTGACAAATGATTAAAGCTGCTTTTTGTTTTTGAGGGTCTGCACGGGTGGTAGTGCTTGCCTGGCAAACACAGCTACTCCCATTTCAACACACACACACGTAAGAAACAGATGAGAGTTTGTGAGGAAGCTCCATTTTTTTTTTAACTTAAACAGGAAAGCCCATCAGTGATAGCCTATTACATTTGCTTGTTTAAGTAGAAAAGAAAAGGCCAAACTATTGCAGATACAAACCATAAAAAAACATGGCACAAAATACAAAAGATGCTTCACATAAATATGCCACAAAATCAGAATAAAAAAAGTAAACTCCAAATCTCTCTAAACAGCATCTCTGACTCTTACAATAGCTGTCGAATATTCGTTGTTGTCTTGTGTCTAAATAAATAAAAAATGTGTGCAAAGGGTCACTACTAAGTACAGAGGTGAAACACTTGGTGTTCTCAAAAAACAAAAAACTTTTCTTGCACTCAGCCAAGACATGGATTTATCAATAGATTGTTTTACAGGTTAGATGTTGTTTCTGCTTTGGCATTTTCTGCCTGTTGCACCTCCTACGGTACCTTTTGGTCAGCTGATGTTTTCAGTCGTTCTAATACTCTCATGTAATTTAGACATTCCTAAATGAAGACCATGATTTCTACTTTCTTGAAGAATGTATTCAGGGATCAATTGGGTAAAAATGGGGACCTGGTTCTCATACTTAAAGCACAATAGTTCGTTTGTGGTAAGCACAAAGTTTCTTCAGTAGCCTCTAATGTGCTGTGTAACATTATAGTGAAATAATAAATGTGTTGACAAATAACTTTTTGTTAAACTATTGCCCATAAAGGTCCTAAACAAATCTGCAAGGAATTACGTAACGGGAACCTAATTTTCCAGTTGGTCAGTGTTAAGCTTTTCTCAGGCAGTGTGCTGCTTTGGTGGCTTCAGTGATTGAACACACACAGGTCATTGGCTAAATAATGTTCTTATTCTTCAACATGACAGATCCACACTCGATTCAGATTCTCTGGCTGTATCATTGTAAAATTGTGCCCTGATATCCCAATGGGTCTTTCAAAAAGCTGCTTGACATGTACTGACAACAGGAATCGCGTTTCTCCCATTGTCGTTTCTCTGCAGTTGTGCTTAGACATTATCAAAGAAAGTTAAAATTAATCTTCTCGTCTTCAAAGCCAATGACTATCAGTTATTATAAAACTTATATGACTCATATAGTTTCCTTTAACCCCTCTAGAACACTGTGTGCAGATGCAGGTTTTCTCTAGGTAAACTTTTAGATACCTAAAGTATCCAGAGTAGCCAATGGAAAGCATATGTTTCTTTAAAGAGAAGATTTAAAGTTTTCCTTTTGGATAAAGCGTACAGTTAAGGCTGCATCAGGTTTGCCTTGATCCTGCCTTTAGTAATGCTGCTCTGGATCTTCTTTTATCAAGAATATGTAAGTTAGCTATGTTAGTGAAAGAGTCAATTATTTGGTTAAATCAGAAATCTGCTGAGTAGAAGAGTAAAGCAGCATGAATGGACATACTCATGTAAAGTAGATTAACATGTAGTGGAGGAGAAAAAAATCAAACTGATGTATTCTTAGTTTGTAATATTACAGTTCTATAAAATGGCATAGTCATGGGTTAAATGATGTCACTGACCGCTGCAACAAATACACTCTTGTTTGTTGAACTTATCATTTTTACAGCTGTTGGCGTGACACTAAATCGATTTATGTTGTAAATGTCACTACTACTACATTTGGTTGATGGGAAATTAAGACCAGTTTCATGTGGATGTCAAATGACTGCTGATGTAGAAAAGCAATACATTTTGAGTCTGCAGAGAAAGTCTATTTTTTGCTGTCTGTGCCTAAATATACCTGGATGCGCATTAGCAACTGCATTTCTACTGCTTTACTAACTACTGTTTCAACAAGATCCTCTGGGCTCAGCATTTTAGCATGTAATTATCTCTTTTCAGAAATGTAGCAAGATTATTCAAACAAAGACTTAAACCAAGCAGAAATAGAGTTTCTGCTTGTGCTCATAATCATTTTAAATGAAAATGCTCGAGCTGGTGGAAGACATGATTTTAAAGCCATGACACACAGAACAGCTGCAGTTGTTTTATTCATTAAATAATCCGTGGGCTGAAAAAACATTAACCTCCTTGTGTGTAAAACTTAGTGTTACACATCTCATTAAACTGCTAAGATCAACAAGGTGCTTTTTGATTCTTCTGATAGTCTGCAGAATCTTGCAAACACAATCTCTAGCAGTGTGGTTTTGCTATGTCACTTCCATGACCTCTTTTCACTGTCACAGAAATCATATTGTGAGTCAATATACTGTTACACCAGAATCCTTGTTAAAAAAATATATCGCCATCAGTCAGAATGAGTTGAAACTATAGTGTCCTACACTTCTTTGATGAATTAAAGTGCTTAATATGATCTCACACTATGCCTTGTCATGCACAGAAAAATATCAATATGCTTTTATTTTGATTCAATAAGATGCCTATGACAGAAATACCCAGATAATTAATTAATGTACCTTCTTATATTTGTTAAATAACAGCACTGCTATAAATAACAGACTCTGTATTTGATACATTCTT